AAGAAACCCGGCGGCATCTGGCAAACATTCCCAAGCGGCAGTCACAACACGGGTCTCTCAAAGGATGATTGGGGATTTAAGATCTATCCTATACCACAAACGGGTCCACCTCGCTGAGCTGCTGCGCGATCCGTGGCGCCGGGATTCCAGCAGCGAAAGGCAGTGCAGTCATTAGGGATTTGGAAAGACACCGTTCCGAAGTGAAACACCTTACTTCACCAGGAAACCCGCCAGATGCCGCAAAGTATTTAACGTGCCACGCAATCGAGGAGCTCCTGCGTCTCGATGAGCCTTTGTCTGCTCACAGGACGTCGCGGCCAGGAGGAGAACACCGAGGCATTGGGAATCACTACGCTTCCGCCGCACCAATGTACCAATGTGAGCACTTGAAGTTGCCGTTGACGGTTCGCCCATCATAGTTCTCGCTCGGCAGCCTTCGGTTGTCAATCGGCCTGAGACGCCCACGGTACCTCACAACTTCATGGTGCACTCCTGCTCCGTTGACGGATCCATGTGCTTCATAAATGCACGCTTCGCGCAATGCGTTGTCTCTTTAGCACACAAACACACACACATACAACTGGTTCGGGGGAGTTCGCAAGATCAAGTGAGACCACAGAAGCCTTCGATTTGACTTCGATCTATGCAGAACAACAGACCTTACACTGCATCACGAAGCATTTCGGAGTCGGGTTGGGGGTGGAGAGCCAGCGCGGGAGGAACCTGGACCTAGACCGGATTACTCTTCCCAGGCGACCCTCCCCGGCCTTCGTCGTCAGCATCGGAGAGGCGGCCTGGTGAGGTGCTGGGAGAGGTCATACACGAGTTACGGCGGTCCGGAGCCTTGTGAAAATGGCTGGTTGTAGTTGCAAAGGTTCATCGGGAGCCCCGGGCCTCCATAGCACGCACTGTACCAACCCAGGGTATAGTATCATGGAAGAAGAAACATAGCGGCGGCTGACCAACATCCCTAAACGCAAGTCGCAACACTGGTCTCTGAAAGGAGTAGGGATTGGGGTCTCGCTCTTCATCTCAAACCACAACAGGCCAGCGTATGTTACTTAGCCGATTCAACAGACTCCAGGGGAACGCCAGGGGCTTATGGGTCCTTAGGCCTAGTAGTAGGACTAATGCAGGGATCACGGTGGTCCAGAGCCTCCTCTAGAAAGATTGATTCTAGCTGCAGACATTCATCGAGAGCCCCAGGCTTCGGTGACACCCTGTGTATCAACCCGAGGTATACTATCTCAGAAGAAGAAACCCGACGGCATCTGGCAAACATTCCCAAGCGGCAGTCACAACACAGGTCTGTCAAAGGATGGTTAGGGATTTAAGATCTATCCTATACCACAACCGGGTCGACCTCGCTGGGCTGCTGCGCGACTCGTGGCGCCGGGAGTCCTGCAGCGGAAGGCAGTGCGGCCATTAGGGATTTGTAAAAACACCGTTCCGAAGTGAAACACCTTACTTCACTAGGAAACCCGCCAGATGCCGCAAAGTATTTAACGCGCCAAGCAATCGAGGAGCTCCCGCGTCTCGACGGTGGCCAATCCCTGTGGAGGCTTGCAGACGGTGCCACCCCTTGTGCTGGCGGCGCTCCACAGGAACCGTCATCCGCGCCATCGCGGCTGTCATCATGCTGATACCACCAGAGCAGGTCCAAGCCTCCAAGCCCGGCCACATTCTGTGGCGAGGCAGCCAAGATGACTGCAGGGCAGAACGTCAAGAGCCAGCTTCTCGTTTGGCCAGCACAACGGACTCGCGGGTTGGACAAGCCGCGCATTTGGAGTAGTGCTGGCTAGGCGAACACAACGGACTCGCAGGTTGCTTGCACAGGCCGCAGGCACCGTCCCACCAAGACAAGCCGCGCATTTGGAGTGGTGCTGGCTACGCTCGTCTGAAGGGTTGCAAAGTGTGCCATCTCAATGGCGACTTCTCAAGAGGAAGAACGGATCATTCAAGAATCCAAACAGTAGCAGTGGGCAACGAAGCTAAACCGGGACACCGGGTTGAGCAGAACCCCGAAGACCTTTCGGCCACACAACGGAAATTCTGAACTTGAACCAACCAAGCCCAGCAGTCCGCAGTGGGAAACTCAGGAAATGAAGAGGTTTCTGTTAGACCGACCCTCCCAGCCTCGAGGAATCCAAAGCGACCGGGCAGTGCAGGCAACCTTAGCAGCAGGGTTGCCCCGCCCAGTACATCCTCCCGTAGGGATGATCACTTTATTCTTTTGTGGAAATTTTCCTTTGGAAAATTAGTGACATGTTTTTCCCATCACATTTTTATTTTGGGTTTTGCCCAAATCCTTTTCAACATCACCTGTTTCGATAGTGTGCTATTGGACAGTGCTGATCTTCTTTATATCCGCGTCGCCTCGAAGCGGAGGGTGGGTGGGAAGCAATAACAGATTGCTTGTAGTTTGTTTTGTAGGTCTCAGATGCGCCATGGCGAACCAGGCTTTGTCTGGCTTGTTCCGCCGTGTCGTGATCGATGCTGTGCGCCTGGTCTGGGCCTTTCTCGGCAGTGGGGACCGTCTGCATCTCATTCAGACATGTTGGTCTATTCGTGCTGGTTCCTTTTGCGCTCAGCATTAAACGATGAGTGGCCAACTGTCATTTGATGAAGGGGGAGAATCCAGGCCAGTTGGTGAGGGCTCCTTGAGTGAGTGGGAAGCTCACCTTGATAGTCTGGCTTGCGGTGACTCCGTTGAGGGTTACAGTCGTGACTTTCTTCAAGACAGGTCTCCTGCTCCGAGTGTGAGTTTCGACCCCAGCGAATTTGAGGAAGCACAATGGTATTCGAAGGCGAATCGGTCTTCCAAGGGAAGTGATCACCCTCCTGGCTCTGTGGCAGAAGAGGAGACTTCGAGAGCTTTTCCTGCACAGGTTTCGGGCATGCAGGGGTCTTCATCTGATGATCGTGTATTCAATGTGCCAGCTGCAGTGGCCTTTGCCCACCAGTCTTTGCCCGCTGCTGGCCTGGAGCAATGCTGGGAGAAAGGTATTTGGGCGGATATTTTTGGGCCGCCGAAAGATCTTTATCACGGAATGCATGGTACTGTGTATAAGAGACCGGAGGCTGTGCTTCTGGAAAGCGATTCTTCTCGCTCGAAGGCTGCCAAAACTTCTGGTGCGGCCGACAAGTCGGGGGGAAGTGTTACTTATTTGAATGCAGTCAAAGACAGGGAAGCGGTAAGCTGGAAGGCCAAGAGGGACAAGGAGCGATCGGAGGCTCTTTATCTCTGGCAGGGGCTCATTGAGTCCTGGCCCTCCAAGCTGGCTGTGGTTCGGCAGCTTCTGCACCTGGAACAATTGCCTAGATATTTTATGGTTGAAGATTTGCTGGGGGCCAAGGCGCCTGCTACTCTGCGCAAGCGATACAGATCTCTGCTGGGTTACAACAACTTCTTGAGTGACCGAGGGTTGGATTTTCCTGGATCGGAGGAGATCTTTTATCAGTACTTGTGCGGCATGCGCGAGGCAGGCAGACCTGCTTCTGCTCGGAAGGCGGTTCTTGAAGCCATCACGTTCACAAGGTTTGTGGTTGGGATTCCGGAACTTGCTGAGCTGGGTGAGAGCAAACGCTGCCATGGCAGCGCCAAGCAGCGAGATTTCAAGGCTCGTGTTCAGGCCTCCCCGTTTACAGTGGCCGAGCTGACTAAACTACACCATATCCTTGCCAACGACTCTGAGCTGTGGAACAGGTTGATGGCAGGTGCCCTTCTTTTCGCTACCTACGGCAGGGTTCGCTGGGAGGACTTGTCCCATGCGGAGACCATTACTGTAGATCGTGGCGAAAATGGTGAAGCTGCCTTCATTGAGGCAGGTGTGGGAGTCCACAAGACGATGGGCGCCAAGCTCATGCGAGGGCAGCTGCTGCCTATTGTGGCGCCTGGTTTGGGGGTTACCGAGGACTTGTGGATAGAACAATTTATGGAAGCGAGAAGGTTGCTGGGAATTGGAGAGCCGCCGCTTTTCCCTGTGATGCCGGCTCCGGATCATCAAGGTCTCCCCACGGTTAGGAGTCTTGAGTCTGACGAGGCAGGGTCTTGGGCTAGGCTGCTGCTTTTTGGAAGCACTGACCTGATTCCTGGCAGGCGTGTGTCAAGCCATTCTTGCAAGTGTACATGCATTAGTTTTGCGACCAAGTTCGGGGCAAGTCCGAATGAGTTGCTCTTGTTGGGATATCACACTGGTGATTTTAAGATGCCGCTTACTTACGGAAGAGATGCCGCTGCTCCCACACTCTTGTTGCTGAACAAGGTGTTGCGAGCAATTCGGAGTGGTCGCTTCAAGCCTGACTGCACTAGAAGTGGGAGATTTGTCAAAGGGAGCACTCCTGTCTTGATAGAAGTCAAGGACGAGGACGACGACGACGAATCGGCTCCTGAGGTCCCAGCTTTGCGCAAGGATTCGCCTCGGCCAATAGGTGCCGATATTGCTGAGGAACTACCATCGGATGCGGTGACCACTGGTTCCAGTAGCGGTTCGGATTCAGATAGTCAGGAATGCAACGAGCCCCACAGTTCCTTTGTGCGCTGGGTCGTTCCTGACCCTCCTGAGGGCATGTGCTACTATGAGCATACAAAGTCCAAGGTGCTGCACTTGTCCCATGACCACTACTCCAAGGTGTTTGTGTGCGGCAGGAGCATTGGGGTCTTACATGCAAGACTCAATGACAGGCCTTCTCAGGCTTGCTCGCGGTGCAGGTTGTGCGCTAAGTTTGCTGATTCGAAGAAGTGAGTTGAAAGAATGCATGCGCTTTGCTGACATGTTGCTTCTTACATGTTTTGAAGTGTCTGCGCATGCGTTACATGTCAGTCAGTACAGTTACATGTCATGTTCTATTGCGAAGCTAGGGTGCCAGTGCACGCAGTACATGTTGGTGTGGGGCTGACACATGTCATGACCTTTGAACTTGTGTGGGGCTCGAGTTGTGAGTGTGACTTGCCGTAGGGCGTGCGGCAGGGTAGAGCTCTCCAATCAGGGCTGCACTAGATGTCGACAATCATCGAGAGTGAGGCGGCCTTTGAAAAGAGGTGCCTAGAGGTTCGTGGTGACGGCTCCCTTACGGCGGGACTGTCGACTCAAGGCGTCAAATCTTTTCGCTCACTTGCATTCGCTCTGGGGACCCCTCAAAGTCCACCGACCGAGGATGCCTTTAGGGAGCTTGCGAAACTTGTTTATGCAACAGGTGAGCCGACTGTAGGTGAGTTGTCCAGTATCAGACAGTTGCACTTTGAGGCATCCACCTTGGTGATTCAGACTTACAGGGACATGGTGTCACATGATTCGTCAGACGGTGCACCCATGAGGAAGCTTCCGCTGCCAGAGAAGCGAGCGCGCAAGGAATCCCAGCAGTCTAGGTTGGGAGGCATAGACATGGATGGGGAGCTTGACCCGTCATATCAGTTGATCGATGCTTGCAACCATCAAATGGAGAATGCCGTGATTTATTGGCTTGCCCCTTCTAAATGCCCTAAACGTGAGCAAGAGGTGATAGCAGGTTTCAAGGAGAAGCCAAGCACACTCCAAGTTGAGAACAACACTGTCAAGGTCGGTGGACCGAGTGTTACTGTAGAGTGTGATACTTCGGATTCGTTGCGCTGTCAGTGGGCTTGGATGCGAAGGGGCCTTGCTTATGATCAGTGCAAGATGCTTTCGTACAACGTTCATCAGAAATGGATTCAGAAGCTCTTGGACTGCCTGTCACAGGTCCCTCCGCCGAATTTCGCTTCCGTTACATTGACTCAGTGCGTCAGGGCAGACAAGGAGATGTTCTTGCTCATGTCACAGGAGGGCCTCCAGTCCTTCAAGCCAGGGCCCTCAGGTGTCCCTCCCCTTGATGCAGTGATGACTCGCTTGGCCTTCGATCAGCGCATTACACAGTTCTTGCTTCCTATGCAGAAGTCGCAGGTTGTGAAAGTTGCACCGACAAAGGTGACAGAGGACGACAAGCCACCGGCACCTCATAAGGTGCCACGTGTTGCGACTGAGAAGGCTAAGGCTAAGGCGAAAGCACGAGGAGGCCCGAAGAACAAGCCGGCGGCCTTGGCAGCATATGATACCAGGACAAAGTTTGGCAACGCGTGCTGGGGTTTCAATCTTCCCGATGGCTGCTCAAACAAGACTGAGAAGGATCCGAAGTCAGGCTTCCAGAAGTGTGATAAGGGCCTCCACGTGTGTGCTGCATGCCATAAACCAGGTCATTCAGTTGTCAATTGCAGGACCTTGAAAACTGAGTGACTAGGCGAGGGAAATGCAGCTAGTTTTCACTTTGTGCAAGCCTCCGCCCCTTCTGATGGAACACCCGTTGATGGGGTTTGCGAGGATGCTGATGCACTGTCCGGGTCCGTTGAGCGGACTTTAGGTTCGGGGGCGGCTGGCCCTTCGAGCATGCATGCACAGGTCGGGAAATGCGCCGACGTTGAATTCCTTCGTTCGAGGCTGGCTATGAAGCGTACCTTCAGCCAGTGCTCGAAAACCAATATCGAAACTGAGAGCCCGGATGCTTGCATGGCATCTCGAGCTGACGATCAGGTAGGCCGTGGCACTGGAGTTGCCGTGTCTACTTCTGGTTCTAGTTCTAGTTGCGTAGTTGACCCTAAGATTGCCCCGGTGGATGCCGATCCACGGGAACCCCAACCCCTTTCGGGTGTAGGTCCTTCGGGTTTGCCAGTTGTGCGTCCTGTTGATCCGCCTCACGCCGAGGTCGCGGACCCCGGTCCCGCGGATACCCACGAACAGATGGCTCGCATCATGCTGCATGCGAATGCTTTTACGGCAAGCAACTGCATTCGCTTGTTCGATGCTTGCCCCAAGGACCGTGCGCTTCGAAATGTGCAGGACGGCTCAGTTGCAGGAACTCGCATCAGCTTCGGGTTCTATGTCCGAGGTGGTAAAGCCAGCATCTTCAATGCTTGTGCATCGGCACCTGCCACCTGCAGATTCTTCACTTCGGTGGTTCGATTTGTTGATCCCTCACATGTTTTCGGGGCTATTCAGATCCTTTCTGATGTCCGCTCGGAGATTCATCTTGACAAGGCCAATGAGAAAGGATCGAAGAACCTTATCATTCCCCTCACTTTCTTCGAGCAAGGTCAGCTCTGGATCCGGGATGAAGCAGGACAGCATGTGTGTCAGCATGGGGATAAGTCTTTGTTTGGAAAGTTGCTCGACGTTAATGCCGGGCCCCTCCACATCGATCCTTCAGTGCATCATGCTGTTCAGCCCTGGCAAGGTCGAAGAGTGGTGTTGATTGCATACATGCCGTCTTTCGCTGATAGGCTCAGTCGTCATGACAAGTCTGCGCTGTCTGAACTTGGCTTCGTGTTCCGTCATTTTGCAGGTTCTTGCCCAGCCCCTTTACGGGACATCCGTGAGCAACCTTCTTCTGTAGTTGACAATCGCACTGCTGAGGAATTCTTGATCTTGGAGCTTTGTGCAGGTCAAGCAGTGCTTTCACGAACAGCTGATTCGCTTGGTTTCAGAACTCTTGCAGTTGACAACAACCAGTTTCGGTCACCTGGTAAACAGGTTTTGCGCCTGGATCTTTGTGATCCCGATAACATCGATTATCTTCTTGAGATCATCTCTGCTGAGAAAGGTAAGCTTGCTATGGTCTTTTTGTCGCTGCCCTCAGGCACGGCTAGTGTTGCTCGAGGCAAACACATCAGAAAGTGGGAAGATCAGGGTTACCAGCTCCCTGTGGAGTTGAGAAGTGCTTCGCATCCGGATATGATTCCCGGGCTTTCTTCGCAGGATCGCAAGAGGGTCGAGGTTGCCAATCAGCTCTATTTTGAGACTGCTAGGTTGATCTTGGCCTGCGTGGAGCAGGGCGTTTTGACTGTAGTCGAGAATCCTGATTCGTCGCTGTATTGGTCAACTTCATTCTTTCAGTCAATCACTGCCGTATGTCCGGGGTTCTTTACCCGTTTTCACTTGTGCTGCCACGGAGGTGTCCGCCCTCGCTTGCTCCGCTTGTGGTCTTCCAAGGACGTATTCAGTTCGCTTGAGGCTCGCTGCGACAACTCGCACACCCATCAGCCGTGGCAGCCGCGCCTGCTTGGGCGCAAGGTCAAATTCAAGACTGCTGACGAATCCGAGTATCCGTCTGTCTTTTGTCTTCGGCTGCTTTCTGCTTTGGCTCATTCCGTCCACGTGAAGTTGGAAGCGTCGTCGGCGCAGCAGTCTGTCCCATTTCACAGCAAAAGCACTCGTGTTGCCTTGGGTCTTCAGCCGCGTGGGGCTTCCTTCGGGCCGTTGGTTGCCGAATTCTCGCATTTTCTCTCATGCTTTTGTCCTCCGACTCGGCCACAAGTCTTGCTCGACTTTCTTGCAGCGCAGCCTAAGGGTTCTCGCGTGGTTCGTCGGTCTCTTTTGGGATGGGGGGAGGTCTTGCATTCACTTGAACTTTGCGAGCACCCGCACTTGAAGTTCCAGATCCGAGGACGGATCAGGTCGCAGCAAACGGCACTCAGGTTGAGCTTGTGACGATTGGCATTCCTTGTGATCCTTCCGAGTTCATTCGAAGGGCTTTGATCACGGGACATCCCAGGAGTTTCGAACTCCATCTTGAACCCGAAATCGATGATGCGATTCACGCAAACTTCGTAGGTGACCCTAGTGACTTAGCTCGAGCCCGAATCGACTTTGTCAAGAAGTGGAGTGCGAGGGCCAAGGAGCTTCAACCCGATGAGGACAAGCTTCACTCTGAGATGCCTAGCTACCTATCTCAGGTATTGCAAGGCAAACGTCTTCTTCTGTTCAAAGAAATGATGCAGGCAGCCGGATGCAGCGATGAACACCTTTTCAGGGATGTTGTGTCAGGCTTTCGCATTTCAGGCTGGATGCCGGCCACCGGCAACTCAGGACCTAAGGTCAGAGCTCCTAGGATGTCGGTGGACACCCTCAAACTGATTGCCCCTGGATTGAACAAGACCGTGGTGTCTAAGCTTGCTCGCCGTCAGGACCCTGAGCTTGAGGCATCCGTGTGGCAAGAGACACAGAAAGAGATCGATCTTGGTTGGGTGTGGGTTTCGACGGAGATCTCTCTTAGCAGCATTGTCATGCGATTTGGTATTGTTCAAAACGGGAAAGTCCGCTTGATCGATGACTGCACCATCTCATGCCTCAACTTGACGGTTGGACTTTGCGAGAGATTCGAGCTACACACGATTGATAAATTGGCTGCGATTTTGTCGTGTGCACTTGAAAGGTCTCCTGCCGCAAGCTTGAAAGGCTGGGTTGGGCGAAACTATGACCTCAAATCTGCATACAAACAATACGGCGTGCACCCGGTAGACCGCTCCTTTGTGAGACTGGCAGTCAATAAACCATGGGAGGACGGCCCACTTCTCCTTGGTCTGAACGCATTACCATTCGGATCTGTTGCCTCAGTGAGTGCATTCTTGCGTGTATCATTCGCCATCTGGAAGATAGGTGTTGTGCTGGCAAGAATAGTTTGGATTGCATATTTTGACGACTTTTCGAATGTTTGCCGGAACATCTTGAAGGACAACACGGCCTGGGTTATCGAGTGCTTGTTTGACCTGCTAGGGGTTCGCTTCGACAGGTCGGGTAAGAAAGCGATTGATCATGCAACTTCTTTTGCAACTCTGGGTTTGCAGGTTGATCTTGCAAATACGGAGGACCGTGTGATTCTTATCGGCCACACCGATAAGAGGCGTGATGAACTGTGCGCTTCGCTCAGCGAAGTTCTTGAGCAGGGTAAGATGGAGCCTAGGCCTTTTGAGAGGCTGAAAGGGCGCATGGTTTTCTTCGAAGGTTACAGCTTCGGGAGAGTGAGCAACCAAGCCGTCCGGACTTTGTCGAGGGCTTGCAAACACGCTAACTCGGCCGTTCACTTGAATGCTCTACACAGGTCTGCATTGCATTTCTTGATCGAGCGAACCAAGTCAGCTGAGCCTTTGAGGGTTCAGCCTTGCCTCCGAGCGACTTGGATTCTTTTCACGGACGGAGCTTGTGAGGCTGAGAGATCTTGGGGTGGCGTCGGAGGCGTCCTTTTCGCCCCGAATGGCAGCTGTGCTGGCTACTTCGGTGAGTCGGTCCCAGATGAGCTCATGAATCAACTCTTGTCGTTTTCGAAGAATCCAATCTTCGAGCTTGAGATTGCTCCAATCTTGATTGCATACGAACTGTGGAAGGGTCTTATCCAGGGAGCACAACTCGTGTGCTATCTTGATAATGAGGGAGCGCGGTACTCTTGCATCCGTTGCTTCGCAGATACTTCGAGTGTTGCCGATGATTGGGTGCGTGGCATCCTTCACCTTGAATCTCAAGCACAAATGAATGTGTGGTACGGCCGCGTACCCACTTCTTCGAACATTGCCGATGGCCCGTCTCGGCTTTCGTTCACCGAGGTGCAGAGGCTTTGCAGGTACAGGTCGCGTCCGACCTGGGCCACTCTCCTTTCAAGAAGGGGGTGACTCCAGGGATCGCGGCAACCCCCGGTGGAAAACGAAGACCTGTGCTGCCTCTGCTTGATTGGAATATTTTATTGATTATAATATGATATATTCGAATGTTTGGCATTCGATATATTCCACCTTTGATGGGAAATTTGTTAACAATCATAATGATTGTACATGCCACGGTCCACACAGAGAATAAGTACATCCTCCCGTAGGGATGATCACTTTATTCTTTTGTGGAAATTTTCCTTTGGAAAATTAGTGACATGTTTTTCCCATCACATTTTTATTTTGGGTTTTGCCCAAATCCTTTTCAACATCACCTGTTTCGATAGTGTGCTATTGGACAGTGCTGATCTTCTTTATATCCGCGTCGCCTCGAAGCGGAGGGTGGGTGGGAAGCAATAACAGATTGCTTGTAGTTTGTTTTGTCCCGCCCGTCCCAACCCTGTATATATTCTTGAGCCTATCCCTGAGCCGTTGTGACTCCAGGGATCGCGGCAACCCCCGGTGGAAAACGAAGACCTGTGCTGCCTCTGCTTGATTGGAATATTTTATTGATTATAATATGATATATTCGAATGTTTGGCATTCGATATATTCCACCTTTGATGGGAAATTTGTTAACAATCATAATGATTGTACATGCCACGGTCCACACAGAGAATAAAGCAGCCGCACTTTCGCAAGTCGCGGCACCAGAAACAACAAACAAGCGATTTTCTTCTCGTGGCGGCGTCGTCCATGCTCGCTCTTTCGCAAGACAACGTCCAAGCAAGCAAGCAACGGTGCAACCTGGCCAGAGCGAAGAATTCGCGGCCCGCACGGCTCACCGTGGAGTCAAGGGCCGTGCCACCCAGTCGCCCCAGCTCACGACTTGGTCGTTGTCAAGAACGGCAGCAAAACCAAGAGCGGAGGCTGCGATAGCCCGCACATTCTTGAGCTGATCTTGCACGGCGCTGCTGTCGCCACCGCGCTCTGGGAAGCCCCATGATACAACCGTGCCGTCGGCCTTAATGGCAGCGAAAGCATTGAAGTTGCTCGCGATTTGCTCCACATCTGTCAACTGATGTTGCACGATGCTGCTGTTGCCACCATGAAGGGAACAGCCCCAGGTTACGACTGAGCCATTGCGTAGAAGCGCTGCAAAGGCTCCGCGGTTACTTTGGATTTCCCTGACATCCTTCAGCTGTTCCTGCACTTCACTGCTGTCCGCACCAGAATATCGACCCCCACCCCATGTAACCACGGAACCATCTGTGCGGATCGCTGCAAACGCATGCGTCGTCGATTGGATGGCCGAGACATTGCACAACAGTTCCTGCACCGCGCTAGAGTCGCCTCCGCTGAAGTCTGCACCCTATGTAAAAACGGACCCGTCGGTCAGAATGGCTGCAAAAGCCCTCGATGAGGATTGGATGGCGGTGACGTTTCGCACAGGCACAGTCACAGAACTGCATTTGCCCCAAGTAACGACGGATCCATCGTCGAGCAGCGCCGCAAAGGCTTCTCGTGCCGCTTGAATCTGCCGCACGCCTTTGAGTTGCTTCTGCACTCCACCGGAGTCGCCTCCGTGTACACATCTTCCCCACGTCACGACAGAGCCATCTGTGCAAGTTGCCGCAAAAGCATCGCCGGTGGTCTGGATGGCCTGCACGTTCATTAAAAGCTCCTGCACTCCCAGGCTGTCCCCACCGCCAGCTCGGGAGCCCCAAGTAACAACAGAACCATCGGCCTTGATAGCAGCAAAAGCAGATCGTCCCGCTTGAATCTGCCGCACGTTCTTCAGCTGGTTTTGCATAGCGGGCTCGATGCCGCCTCCGTAGTCTTGCGAGCCCCATGCAACAACGGATCCATCATCAAGAATCGCCGCAAACGCGGCCCCTTCCTGAGATGATGCAACGGCCTGCACGTTTTTCAATCGGTCCTGAACAGATTGGCTGTCACCACCAGTCATAGCATTCCCATAGGACGCGACCGAGCCATCGCGGCGGAGCAACGCACAAGAGAACGCGCTCGAGCTCAAAGCCGCTTCGAGGAAGAGGCCACCCTTCAATCGTGATTGACAGGGTTTTATTTCCAAATTTTGTTTGAAAGGAAAAACGGGAGTTTTTCCTTTTGTTTCCCTCTTCTTTTGCAACGCGTGTTTTGAACCAACGATTCTCACATGCTTGTTGCGTCAAACATCATTTCAACATGTTGTGATGAAAGCAACTCGCAGCTTTCCGAATCAAGTCGGAAGCGTGTTGGCAGCGCTCCGCTGCTAGCGCCTTAAATGTGAAAGTTTTCTTCTGAATTCTTTTACGGGTGTAAGGAAAAGAAATTGGCCACCTCGAGTTTAGTAAGTTTCCACCTTTTTGGCTGCTTGCCTTTTTGGCAGGTGAAACTTTGCAGATTGCAGCTTGCGTCTTGTTCAAAGGACTCTTCAGCCATTCGCTGACTGTTGGCTTCAAGCTTGAGACAGGCATTGCATGTCAGTGCATGAAACAGCAATGCTCTCATGACATGGATGTTGCACTTGAAATTTTTAGTTCAGTTCTCTGCCGGCTGGGCCGGCCCATGGAAGCAGCTCTTGCGGAGTTGCGAGCCGAGGTTCTTGAGTTTCAGGACCAAGTGGCTGTGCGCTTGGCCAGACTGGAAGCTCGAGTGTTGCTGCAAGCCCAGTCACCTCATACTAGCACGACATCCAGTACTGCCGCTTCTTCCGCCCTGGGTGCTGTTGACCTAGGGGACTTAGTCTATCAGCCTCACGTCTGTGCAGTCTTGTGCGAGTTCTTGTCTTGCTCAGACCGCGTGCGGCTCCTGCAGAGCTCGCCTGACATTCTCGACCCTGCGCGGCACTCATTGTATCGCCTGGCCTTGCGCCTGCCTTTGCTTCAATAGAGGTCCTAGCCTGTGCTCATGAACTCTTTCAGCGCTGCCATTTTGCAACAACTGGCCGGAGTGTCCCGCGAACAGCTTGAGGACGATACGCCTTCAGGTGCTGCGGCTGCCTTATCTCATGAGGTCCCACAGAGCCCTCCAGCAGAGACTCCCTCCGCTTTGCCGGCTGCGGCCGCGGCGCAGCCTGTTCCTCCGATACAGACCATGGTTAAGGGGGGGGGTGTTAGTTCGGTTTCGGTTTCTCGGGGCTTTGCTAGTTCGCTTGTGGGGTCAAATGCTGGTGTGGATGCTTTACTTGGGGGGGTTCCCCCAGCTTCAGACGCCGAGCGCGAGCCGTCTTGCAATGCCACCTCCCTTTCCCAAGTAGATGATCTGGGGTCCTTTGACAAGTGGGCTGAGTGCAGCCCGGAGCCTTGCCCCTGGGACGCTTTGAGTGTGTCGTCACTCAGTGTAGCAGAGGAGCCTAGACCGGTTTCAGAAAACTTGGATGCAGCCACGGAGGCCGCGGGCCTTGCAGAAGGGAGTGACATTAGTGACTGGCAGTGTGTAGTGACGCCGGAGTCAGGAAATCAGCTTTCAAAAGGTATGGGAGTGTCGTCATCGGCAGTGCCTGCTCAGGTATCCGTTGATCGAGCTGTGCAGCAGGCTGTGGCCCGCTTTGCTGAGGATCCGGTTGCAGCCTTGCCATTGCCTTGGGAAACCCCTCTCATGAAAGCGATATTTTCAGAAGATGATGCAGCAGCACTTACAAATCTTGTTCCGGCATCGTTTGCTTTAAAGGGGACGCCTCCGCCGTTGCCAGGGGCTTCGCGTACGAACCTTGGCTCGGCTAAGCAGCCATCAGCTTTGAAGCTTGAAGGAAACATTTGCGAGCATGCCATTCGGAAATTCCGTGACGATGACGATCTCTTGAAAGAGGAAAGGTTGCTGCACCGTGCAACCGCCAAATGGGCTTTAGTGGTTTTTCGGTACGCCAGGGAGCTTAGCCTTGCTCCTGAGACTGAGGAGGAGATCATTGCTTGCTTTGGTACCAGGTCGGTGCACACTATCACCAAGCGTGCCAACACGTTTGCCGCTTACTTGAGGTGGTTGGATGTTGTGTCTAACTCCAATGTGTCTGCTTTTTGTGATGCAGCTTACTGGAAGTACTTGAAGTTCTTGGAATCGTCTGGCGCGGCTGCCTCGAGTGCCACATCCTTTTTGGCCTCCGTGAGGTTTTGCAAGTTCGTGCTGGGGTTGTCCCGCGTGGAGGAGCCCAGCCGCAAGTGTGTCGGCCTCGCAGAGAAATTAGCTGGTCAGGCTGGGGTTGTTAGGCAGGCAGCGCCTCTGACGGTGGACCAAATCCTCGTGATTCACGAAGCCTTACACAGTGAACATACGAGCAGGTGGGACCGTGCTTTCTGTGCTTACTGCTTGGTTGCCTTGTACGGCCGTGCCCGCCATAGTGACTTGAAGAGGGTCTCCCATATTGAGTGGGATGTGCCGCAGGACACCGATCGGTCGCGGCAAGGCTCCCAAGGTTACCTTATCATCTACACCAAGCACCATAAAACATCCAGGGCCACGGCGAAGAAACTTCGGCTGCTCCCCATTGTTATTCCAGTTGCAGGAATCCACAGCAGGCCTTGGATACACGCGGCCCAGGATGCCTTTGTGGCTGTGCACTTAACCTTGAGGGGCGAGGTTGGCGGTCCGTTATTTCGGCCGCCTCGGAGTTTCGACTCCCTTAGCTTATGCAGACGTAGCATCACATCCGACGAAGTGTCAGTTTTCGTTCGGCTCTTGCTCGGCCTCAGCCGCGATGCCCCTAGTGAAGGGGATCGAGTTACGAGCCACAGCATGAAAAGGACCTGCCTTTCCTGGGCCAGTAAGGCGGGTTTTGACCGCCTGACTCGGAGTTGCCTAGGAAGGCACGCCTACGCGACTGAAGGGACTGAGGCTATTTATTCGGTGGAACTTAGTTTGCCGCATGTGCAAAAGCTTGAGGCCCTCATCAAGTTCATCGTGAACGGATCCTTTGCCCCAGACGCATCAAGGGCATTGATGTGGGCGTTCCCGCCGCCAGCTGCTGAGATTGCTTCGCCAGGACATTTCCCGGTGCCTGTGGAGACTTCCAGCGTACCGCTGGCAGATGAACGGTCGGGGGCTGTGGAACCTGACTCTGGGGATGAAGGCCAGAGTAGCAGCTCCACTTCGAGTTCAAGTAGTAGCAGTGAGTCGGACTCTGATGGAGGATCAGAGGGGTCCCCGATGAAAAGACGCAGAGCAGAATCTGCTGATGACAAGCGTGTCGAGCCTGAAGGTGGGTGGGTAGTGCATCGTCGCTCCCACATTTTGCACCGTGTTTATCGTGAGAAGATCTTGATGTGTGGAAGGCCCAGAACCCAAGCTTATGACTTGGTAGAGGACATCACGCGCATGGGAAACCTCGTGTGCAAGACCTGTGAGCGAAACTCGGCTTGAGAGAGAAAAGTCCTGAGCTATGGCCGAGGGGCTGCGCATGAGTGTGTGAGCTGTGCACCTGGAAGTTGGCATGCGCCGCTGGTGCTATTGTGGGCTACGAGCCTCTTGAGCGAACATGCGATCGGGAGGAAGTGGAGGGCACGTGCCTTATGTGGGCTGCCCTCCTCCTCGGCAAGTGGGCATGGCCCTGCCAAGATTCGACATAGTCGAACGGTTTGTCAAGTCGCCGTGGGCTCGAGTAAATGGCATGTGCCATCTTGTGATCTTGGGATTCTCAGCTTCACCGAGAACGCACCAGTACTGTCATGTCTGATTGTTCAGTGGAATATGACACTTGTGGATAAATTAGGTCCTGCGGCGCCGCTATGACATCGTTGGTGGAATCAGAAGCCCATTTCGTGCAGCGTGCAGCTGAGGTGCGGCTGTCAGACGCTTCAGTGCAGGCGTTGCGGCGCCATGGGTTCAGGACCTTGGGGCAGCTCGCTTACACAGTGGGCCAACCAGGCCAGTTGATACCGGAGGCTGAGTTCACCGATTGGTGCCGCAATCATGTGCCAGCAGCATCAGCAGCTGATCTTGCATCGTTGAAGCGGTTATTGTTTGAGGCACAAACATTAGCACTCACGCAGCTCCGAGCTCAGGTGACCGAACCCGATTCAGCTAGTAAGCGGGTTCCAGAGGCTGAGCGTGAGCGCCGGCTTCAGCAGTTGCGGGATGAGCTGAGTGGCCTCAACATCGAAGGGCCCCTGGAGCCGGGGCGGAAGCTTTTGGATGAATGCTCTCATCAGGAAGCTGTCGGTCAATTGAAAAAACTTTTCTGCCTGCAGACTTTTCTTTCTTTGAAATCGGCGACAGGCCGCAGGCCGTGTTTGACAATTGGCCACAGCACATCATGCTATTTATTCCCCCCCCTTTTTTGGGGTGGGTTTTTCATGAAGAATATTTGACATGCTTCATCGATTTTTGTTGCATGTCCATGTTCCTTGGCATCTCTGATGATACTCTTGTGTCTGACGAAGTGACTGCTCGAGCTGAGCTTTTAAAACTTTTCGTCGTGGTCCCCTCTAGAGGCTTGTAAAACATTGTACCAGGCCTCGGGTGCTAATCACGGCGTTGTAGCTTCTTCGAGGTCTTCTGACCTCGCATGGACAGGCGCTTGCTTAGAGCACCTGCTCCGCTCCGGCGCCTAGTCCTCCTGTGGCTGCTCGAAAATCTGCAGGTCCGCGGCTGGCAGTCTGAAATTTTGCGGCCTGAAAGGCCGCGACAGGTGGGACTTCTTCAGCTCTTGGGAGCTACTGCGCCGGGAGCTCGCTTTCTGCTGCTTCTGGGATTGGACAGTTTCGACGCTTTGTGCTTGAGCTGTCGGGCTGTGTATCACATTTTTGCCTTCGTCCAGCAGTCTGTGCGGCGCCAACGCCGCCGCCTCTCCGGGTTACACCTGCCCTTGTGACTTCTGGGCCTTTCTGCTGTCAGAAGCTCCTGGGATGGAAGGGGGTGAATCGGCAGAAGCTTCTTATGATGTTTGGGGGCTGATACAGGATGGCCCTCCCGCAGCCGGGGCCCCCTTTGACGAACACCTGGATGGTCTACTTCGAGATGACCAAGAGGATGTTCAGCAGTTGGACATCGTGAGTATTGAAGGATTAGCAAGTCACGCTGAGAGCGAGATTTTGGATTTTTCTGCGGATGAGAGAGAGTGGTATTCTCAAGTTCAGGACAATGACTTGGGAAGCTTTGAGTGCGTGGAAGAAGAGATACCTGCCTCCTCTCCTGCTGCTCCGCTACTTTTGCCAGTATCACAGTCCAATAAGCTGTCTTGGCTTGAGGGACCGATGGCTGAGCTTGATGCTTCTCAGATGGTGGCTGCAGCAGTTCACAAGAGAAGGAGGTTCGAGTTACCACGTCAGCCTTGGGAGTCAAAGCCTTCACATCTTGATCAGTGCTCGGATTTTTTCTTGAAGTTTTCGACTTCTGTCGGGGTGAGTGAAACTCTGTCTATGGTAAGAGACAAGGATCCCGAACCTGATGCTTTTTCTCACATTCCTTGGACGGTAACCAGAAGGTTGGCCAGAGCGAGGCTGCCGAAATCGGATGCAGACATAAGAGATTCTTCTTTGAGGAGGTTCAAGATGCTTATCTTGATTGACCCTGAGGCCACAGCCTTAGGCAGCAGCCTGGTTGATCAGGGTAAGGCCATGGAAGATGATGAAGTCATAATGCAGAGTCTGGCAGACGCCTTCAGGGGAAAGGCATCCTTGACTTTGCAGAAGAGATCCTTGTCACTTCAGGTTTTTGTGGTGAGGTCCTATGATGCTTCGCTGGACTCACCATGGCGACTTAACGAGGCTCAAGTCTATGCTATCTTTGCTGGATTTCGGGAGCATGGCGCTAAAGCTTCTACGGCCTCTCATATCTTGGAGGCTTTGAGGTTCTTCCATGCCATAGCCCCCTTCAAGTACATGGACCTGGAGGCCATCTTGTCTTCGAGAGTGCGTGGCGTCGCACAAGACTTGAAGCTCAGAAAGGCTCCTCTGAGGCAGAGAGATTCCCTCAGTCGTCGGCGAGTGGAGGCATTGGAGCTGCTGATGGAGAGATGCTCAGATTGGACCCGATGTGTAGTCGGGCAATTTCTCTTTTGTATACACACATCTTGTCGGTGGAGCGATTCACAGAACGTTCAGTCTTTGACTCTCACTTCTGATGGAGAAGGCCAATTGCTAATTGCAGAGGCTCTTGGATCGAAGACGTCTACCACAGTAGAGGCGAAGACGCGCCTGCTTCCGTACGTATGTGTCTCCACTGGGGTGAGCAACACGCCGTGGGCGCAGCTCTGGTTGGAGGCACGTGAGAGAGAAGGCATCCAGTTCGACCGGGGGTGTTTACCTTCGTGGTCGCAGAAGTGGGGATGCTGGGGCCAGGAGAGAATGTCATCCGAGGAGGCCAGCGACATCTTGATCGACGTCCTAACTTCTTTGGACATGGCCCCTGGCCCTGATGAGTCGATAGGGACCCACAGCTTCAAGACCACCTTGATCACGTGGAGTGGGTGGTCACCTATAATTTCTTTTACTCCCAAGGAGAGGTTGTTGATGGGACATCACCTCAGGAAGGGCGGCCCTTCTTCGACTCTGATTTATAGTCGTCAGTTCTACATCAACTTGTCGGGAAAAATCCTGGCGATGTTCAGGACCATCCGCCAGAACCAGTTCGATCCGGATGCCGAGGTCACGGACAGGGTCGCGGCAGTGGCATCAGCACTTGCAGGTGACGCGACGGCTTCACAGGCTCCCGCTCCCCCTGAGGATCAGCACGTGGGTGCCGCCGATGTGGAGTCTTCTGAGTCTGCCGAGTCAATTGTGGGGTATGAGCCAATGCCGCGCTCCGGCCAGGAGCTTAGACCGCCTTTCGAATGCACCGTGGCCGAGCTTCGTGTGCATAGCCTGTCTGGCATCGTTCATCGACTCAGGGACGAGGGCACTTTGTTTTGTGGGCGTCCCCTGACAGACAGATACAGGGACTTCGAGGAAGACGATGCCGATGACCCGGACACCTGCCATCAGTGCAGGCGGGCGATGTCGAGCGCTGATTGAACAGATACTGTCGAAAGAAAAATCGGCCGAGCTCGGTGGTGGTATGTACCATTGCGAGTCTTTTGCTTCGCCGGCTTTTAGCCCGTGGCGAGCTTGTGGTATGGTCAACTGCGAGAAATAGACGTCCCGATCCTTCGGATCCGTGGGACTTGCTTTCCCCAGGAGGAGTGAGTTGCATTCGACCTTTACGTGAACTGTTGGGGCTGTATAACGTGGCCCCCGAGAATACACATGGCACCGGTCTTTGACCCGAGGTGACAGACTGCGGATGCCGGCTTTCCGAGCCCGTGGCATTCCGAAAACCCAGACCTTGTTTATTGGAGATGTCGCGGGCTGGATCTGAGGTAGGACTGTGAAACGCAACCCTGCCGTATGCACCGGCCTATGGCCCGTGGTGCCAGAAGTTTTGGCGGACATGCTTAAAGTGACGTTGCTGAAATCACGATGTTGGGGTTAGCTGTGCAGCAGCTTGGCGACATGTCAAAGCGTGGATCCCGCGCCCGTTGGCTCAGACAGTGACCGAAGCATTCTGCTTCGATACTGTGACAACGGCCGAGTTCGAGTAGCCTGCAGGCTGAGCCATGTCCTCTGTCATATTGGACAGTGAAGCTTCGTTCCGTGAGAGATGCAGTAAAATAGGCCTCAGCAACGATCTTCTCGGTAAGTTGATTGAAGCCGGCTACAACACATTTGGAAAGCTCGCTTTCGCCGCTTCTTCCACACCGCAGGGTTTGACAGACGAAGCTGTCGATTCATGGCTAGCCACTGTGGTCACCCCGTCTCCTGGTTCTTTTCAGGTTTCGGTGATCCGTAGGTTGCTTTTTGAATCGCAATCACTCAATGTGGCGGATCTCAAATCTAGGGTCGAAGGCACGCCGGAAGGTTCCGTGCGTCGCCTGCCCCAGGCCGAGAGAAAGGAGCGCATCGAGGCGCAGCATCGTAGGCTGTCGGGTCTCATTCTGACTTCGCATACCACTCCTGCGCACAGCTGTATCGACCTTGTGACTGACATGTACGAGAATAACACACTCAAGTACATTCCGATTAACAGATGGATATCCCGCTTCCAAGAAATGTCTCTTCAGAAGAAGGATTCTGCCGTTCAGATGGACAACGAGGGCAACTTGAAGGTCGTCCAGAAAAAGCCGGAGCCTACGTGCGACACCACTGGCATGTACCCTCTCCGGCAGGCCTTCCAGAGACGGTCGTTAGCATTTGATCTAGGTCACTTGTGCAGTTTTGAAGCAATGGAAACATGGATCAACCAACTCTTCGAGGCAGTTCAGCGTACCGTGCCAAAGGGATATGTAGCAGTCAGCTTGGGACAAGTCGTTACGGCAGATCGTGAGCTTTTTGTCCGGTTGGCCGACAAGCTTGAAGGACAATTGCAGAAACCCATAGGTGTGGAGAAACCCATGGATGCAGCTTTGCGTGACCTCTCGGGTAGCCAGGAGATAAATCAATTTCTCCAGCCGATGGTAGCTCCTCCTCCTGCACCACATCCCACGAAGCGCCCTTTCAAGGAGCTTGCCACGCCTAACAAAGGCGACGGAAAGGGCAAGACATCCACCAAGGGCGGCGAGAAAGACGGTGGCAAGGCACCTCGTGTAACCATTCCGGATGGCTGTGCGGCCAAAGATCCTCAAGGCAAGCCGAATTGTTTTGGGTTTAATTTAGGCACGTGCAAGCTCAAGGTGACGAAAGGAAGATGCCCGCGAGGCTTTCACCAGTGTTGGCGATGTTTTGGGGATCACCCCTTTACTGAATGCACAAATCAAGTACAGTGATGGGGCCATGCGAGGCCCCAGGGGCCTGACCTCGTGGCCACTTCGGATTCTGCCCCTAGTGATGCTGAGGTCCTCGCGCAGGCCATTTTGGCCAGAGGGTCAGGGATTACTAAGCAAGATGTTGGTCAGATTTTCGATCTTTTGCCCAAGGAGATTCCTTCTAGAGGAACCTCCTCGCAGCCTCCGAGCAGTTTCAGTTGTGGGGCCTACGCAAAGGGTGGATTGCAGGGTCTTCGGAGTGAATGTGCGCTGTTTCCATCCTGCATAAAGCTCCTCACTGCTTTTGTTCGCACCTTTTTGCCAGAGCATTTCTTCACGACTATCAGTTTGTTTCACAACACCAAAACCGATTTGCATGTCGATTCTAGGAACCATCGTACCCCCAACGGGGTCATTGCCGTGACTTCTTTTCAAGGAGGTGGCATCTGGATTGCCGATGGATGCGGGCCTCACAAACGGACAATCAAGGGTGACATCGTGAAAGGCTCAATCCTTAGCCTCGAGACCCCGATCACTTTTGATGCCTTCAAATACCCTCACGAGACGGAAAGCTGGGTTGGCGATAGATTGGTTTGCGTGGCCTTCACTGTCGCTAGCCTTGAGAAAATCCCAACTGAGTCAGCCAGGACCTTGCTTGATCTAGGGTTTAGGCCCCCGCCTGATCTTTCCTTCCCCATTCCTGTGACTGCCCAGGAGCAGCCACCTGTGAAATCAGACTCCTGGGTTTACGAGCTCTTCGCTGGCACTGCCCGCTTCAGCAAGGCTTGCAAGGATTTGGGTTTTCGGGTTTTAGGGCTAGACAGTTCTTGCCATAAAGCGGTCTCTCCTGTGGCCAGGCTTGATCTGACCTTAGATTCGGCACAGTCGATCTTTTGGGATCTCATTAAGGAGTGCCCTCCGTTTCACGTGCATGCATCGCCCCCTGCGGGCACGGCTTCTCGCTCTCGTGAGCGGCCCTTGCCAAAGAATCACGCCCTTGCCTCTAAGGCCCCTAAACCTTTGCGATCCGATGATTTCCCACTAGGCCTACCGTCACTGAATGCAGCGTCTCAGCAGAGCCTTGCCGTGCGCAAGGACAATGTACTGTATCGCTTCGTTTACAAGCTTTTGCTACATTGTTCTGCTTCAGGCATCAATGTCAGTGTCGAGAATCCCCGGACTTCGCTTTTCTGGAAGGTTCTTCAGTGCTTTGCCGAGGCCGAGGGCTTGCTCTGGCCTCCGGCCGCCTTGGAGTACGTTGATTTCGACCAGTGTTGTCATGGTTCCGATCGCCCGAAGTCCACTCGTTTCTTGTGCACTCGAGGCTTGTTCCACTCGCTTCGAGCTACTTGTCCAGGCAATCACGAGCATCGCCCGTGGGGCCTTGTGTTCCATGAGCGTTCTATGCAGTTGTCGTCTTCTTCCGTGTCGGCATACCCCGTTCTGCTTTGCAAACGCATGGCCTCCTGTCTGGAGAGCGCGGCTTTGTTCCTGGGTCTGTCTTTGCAGGCCTCTCCTGACCTGGCAGCCAACTCTGTTGCTGTTCTTGGTCGGCAGCACCGCCGATTTCCCCCCTTGATTCCTGAGTTTCGCAAGGTCACTTGGGAGCCGCCCTCTTTCCAGCCTGACGACTCTTGTCGCATCCTTCTCTCTCAGATTGCTGGGGAGGATAGCGGGAGAGAGAATGCAGCCGAGGACGCCGACAAGGAGGTGAACCCTCCTACAAAGCTCCCCAGAGTCGCAGATAAGGTGTCCAGCAAGGTTCCCTCCTCGGGTTTCCCTAATAGTTCCGACCCTCCCCAAGGTTCGGTTAAGGTAGGGTGGTACTTGTCGATGCAGGATCACGTGGCAAAGGCCTTGACCTTAAAGCATCCCGTCGACACTGCCGTAGCCCTTGATCAGGATCAGCTTGATGCCATCAGCTTCTGCATGAAAAACACAGAGAAGGAGGTGGTAGATCATCGTAAGCTTCAACTCTTGAAGATAAAGATCCTCGCCAAAAAGTTTGAGGCCGACGAGGCTCGATTGCATTCTTCTTTCGACCCTTGGTTCGAGAAAGTTGTGGCGGGAAAGCGTCTTCTTCTGTGGAAACACCTTCTTGAGCAGAACAATTTCGATGACATGCAAGTTTGCGATTTCATGATGTCGGGCGTCCCGATTGTCGGGCAGTCAGCCTGCCCTCAGCCTTTCAGCCGAAAGATTGTGCCGGCTACCATGACGGAGCAGGATCTCAAGGGTACCGCTTCGTTTCGCCGGAAGGTCATGACTGGATCCAGTGGCATGCAAGCAGCCGATCTACAAGACTTGCTGTCGAAGGCTACGTTGGACGAAGTCGATCTGGGCTTCCTGGAAGGCCCATACACCGAGAGCCAAGTGTCTGCTTTCTTCCACTCTGACGATTGGAACTGCATACGAAGATTCCTGATCCTTCAAGGAGCCGAGAACAAACCTAGACCCATAGATGACGGGCATGAGGCTTTGATCAACAATTGCTTCACGGCCACCATAAAATTGGAGCTCCAGAACTCTGACTTTGTGGCGGCTCTAGCGGCAAGGATTGCCATCGAAGAGGCTGAGAGATCTCGCGCTACAGGCGAGCCCCCAAGGTCGTGGCTGGGCAAGTGCCTCGATTTATCGAAGGCGTACAAGCAGATGCCAATGAAGAAGGAGCACCGCTCTCTCGCTGTGATCTACCACAAGGGCCCTGCAGGCGAGGATCAATTCTTCATTGCAAATTCGCTGCTCTTCGGACTCACTGCTTCGGTTTACGGGTTCGTGCGCACGAGCAGAAGCCTTCACAAACTGCTGCTTAAGATTTTCAAGTTGCCCAGCTCAGTGTACTTTGATGACTTTCCGATGTTTTCGACATCGCTTTCTTCCAGTGACACTGACGGCATCATCAGCGAATTCTTGGACATTCTGGGCTGGGGCCATGCCAAGACAGGCAGCAAATCACACCCCTTTGCGGAAGTTTTCTCCGTTTTGGGAATGCAGGTCGACTTGAGCAACTTGTCGAAGAGAAGCATCGTCCTATCGAACAAACCTGGCAGGATCGATAGGATCGTGGAGAAGCTTGAATCCGTGGCTGCTTCGGGTTTCCTTACGATTCATCAGGCTCAGATTCTGCTGGGCTTGCTCAACTTCTCATCGGGTTTCTTTGCCGGTCGTGCCCTCAAGCAATCTTGCAAATGGCTATCTGGTTTTCTGGCTGGAGACAGGCCTTCGCCAAAGACCGTCAGCGAGATGTGCAGGCACACGGTCAAGATTCTTTTGAGCACGCCGCCCCGCTTCATAAGCTGCGATTCGACTGGAGAGCCTCCTATCCTGATATGGACTGATGGAGCTTGGGAGCCTGCCAAGGCCTTCGCCGGGATCGGTGCAGTAATTCTTGATGCGAGCAGCGGCGTATCTAGAGTTTTCCAAGGTCAGGTTCCAGAGCGTCTCGTGGTTCGCTGGCGTGAGGAGGTCGGGGAGCAAATCATCTGCGAGGTAGAGCTTTATGCTCTCCTGATGATCAGGGCCGGCCTTCAGAATTTTCTTTCAGGAAGACGAATCATTTTCTTCATTGACAACGATGCCGCCAGATCTGTGGTGCTGCGCGGTCAAAGCAGAAGCGAAGCGATGCATCGCTTGGCCATGGCTTTGTCCATGGTCGATGCCGTCGCCCCTTGCATATCGTGGATAGAGAGAGTGCCATCATCTTCGAACATAGCGGATTGGCCCTCCAGGGGCGAAGGTTGGAAAGCTCAGAAGGTCGTTCGTGCAGTGAAGGTGGAGCCTTACTTCTTCGATCAATCTTTGATTGATGCTTACCTGCTCTGAGTTCGTCGATCCGAGGGGGTGTGTTCGGGACAAACTCTGAGCGGCTTCAGGCCCGTGCTCTTCGCATCGGCTGCGGCCCGGATGCCATGGTTCCGAAACTGAATTCGTTCGAACCCCTGATCGCTGAAGAGAAAAAGAAGAATGCGCGACTTTCTCTGCTGCCAACTTTTTATTTGGAACGGGAGATACCTTTGAGCCTCGAGCTCGACTCTTTTGATTGAGTCATATAATTGTGAGTTGGATTCATTTGAACATATCGGATTGCGAAGTTTTTAATATATATATCGTGTACTTCATTGCGAGAATACCTTGTGCACGATTGCCGGTAAGTGCATCTTTCAAACATCGCTGATTTTAAAGAAGAAACTTTTCTGCCTGCAGACTTTTCTTTCTTTGAAATCGGCGACAGGCCGCAGGCCGTGTTTGACAATTGGCCACAGCACATCATGCTATTTATTCCCCCCCCTTTTTTGGGGTGGGTTTTTCATGAAGAATATTTGACATGCTTCATCGATTTTTGTTGCATGTCCATGTTCCTTGGCATCTCTGATGATACTCTTGTGTCTGACGAAGTGACTGCTCGAGCTGAGCTTTTAAAACTTTTCCCCGCCCGCCCGACCCAGACATCTACGAGGGAGGGGGGGTGTGTTCGGGACAAACTCTGAGCGGCTTCAGGCCCGTGCTCTTCGCATCGGCTGCGGCCCGGATGCCATGGTTCCGAAACTGAATTCGTTCGAACCCCTGATCGCTGAAGAGAAAAAGAAGAATGCGCGACTTTCTCTGCTGCCAACTTTTTATTTGGAACGGGAGATACCTTTGAGCCTCGAGCTCGACTCTTTTGATTGAGTCATATAATTGTGAGTTGGATTCATTTGAACATATCGGATTGCGAAGTTTTTAATATATATATATATCGTGTACTTCATTGCGAGAATACCTTGTGCACGATTGCCGGTAAGTGCATCTTTCAAACATCGCTGATTTTAAAGAAATACCTATCTCCCGACAAATGTGTCAGTCGCCTGCATGAGGTCACGCATGCCAAGGATTCATCTCGACAGGTGGAAATCGACCAGAGCCGGCTCATCATCAACGAAACACAGGAAGAATTCTCCATGCCTGCATCCTCGGCCCTTCAGGTCCAGGAGGCGTTGCGGCGTCGGGGCCTAGCTTACACATTTGCCCAAGCTGTCAGCTGGAATGCATATGATAAGTATGTGACCAAGCTGTTTGGTCATATGCATCGTGACCCGCCGCCAAACCATAATCGCATTTCGGTGAGCCAGATCGTCGAAGCCGATAGATTGGTCTTTACCCGTCTCATTGAGCTTAACATCAAACCCAAACAGGAGCCCAGTGGCGCACGGCCTATGGACGAAGCCTTGCGTGCAGCACTTGAGTCCTACCAGGTCAGTTTTGCTTTGATGCACTTGGCTAGCAAGGGGGGCAACACTCCTCGCCGGCCTTGGAAGCGGCCGCGTGTGCAACCGGATGCCGCTTCTGCCTCAGCGAACTCGGAGGCAAAGAAGGGCAAAGGAAAGGGTAAGAAAGGCAAAGCCGCACCGTGGATCAGCATCCCTAAATTCATTCGGGACCGGGGCGGTGTGGCCGTCACGCCGGCGGGTGAGGCCATATGCTTCACTTACAGCATCCATGGGAAGTGCAATACGCCTGGTTGCACCAGGAAGCATGTGTGTGCAAAATGCTTCGGTGACCACGCGCTCCTCAACCATACGGAGTGACAATCAACGGAGGCTGCTGCCTCTGGTTGTGCCACGGGTGATGCTCACGTCTTCCAAGGGCACGGCCCGGTCAAGCTTGATCCCGCCCTCTTCTCAGGTTTGTGTGAAGAGTTTGGCCGGCAGGTTCCTTTTGTTGATCATCCTGCGGAAGCTCTCGCCAGGACGATTCTTGAATCCAAGTCCTTTGAATTCACTTGCATAGATGAACTTGTCAGTTTGCTTCCATCTGAAGCTCCCGCGCGCTCCGATGGCGTAAATCCTGGAGGCCATTCCTGGACCACTGGTGCATACGTCCTCGGTGGCAACCTGGGAGCCAGGTTGAACATGAAACTTTTTCCTGCGGTATCGGCCCTACTGGCCGTTGTGCTGCGCGCCGCTTGCGACGATGCGGTTTTCACCAGTCTTGCACTGCTTACTAATCAGTCTGCGTGGTTGCACAGAGACCTCAATAATGCCTGTGAATCGCTCAACACAGCGGTTGCCTTATCGAGTTTCAGTGGTGGCGGCATCTGGGTTCAAGGCGGCGGCACCGTGCAGTGCCCACTTGATCCGAGCTTGGAACCAGGATGCATTCACTCTTTTGCTGATGGAGTTGTGCAATTTGACTCACACAGCCTGCATTGCACTCAGCCGTGGGCAGGTAATAGGTGCATTCTTGTGGGTTTCGTTGTTAAGGGATACCAGGCTTTCTCGCCCGACCTGATAGGCGACCTTTTGAAACTAGGGTTCAACCTTCCCGACTTAGGCACTGGCGATGTCTTTGCAGCCCCATCAGGGGTGTCCAGCTTCCCGGTTGTGCTTGAAATTTTCTCCGGCATGGGTCGTATGACGGCCCAGCTCAGGGCTCGTGGGGCCTCTGGATCTTTAGCAGTCGACTCCAATCAAGTGTCTGCACCTGCAGCCCCGCCTAAGGTTCTTGACGTTGCTACAAATCAGCAACTTCTGTCATCCTGGCTGGAAGCCGATCATGTTGTCGGTGTGCATTTTGCCCCGCCGGTTGTGATGACCGCACCCTTAGAACGAGCTGTTCAATACCTCGTCTCTCGAGCTGTGGAACTTGCCCTTCTTGTGTCCATTGAGCTGCCGGCGGCTTCAACCTTCTGGAGCTCTGCAGCTGGCCGCAAGGTGCGAGACCTCTGCCCTTACGTGAGAGCTTTCCCTCTTGATGATTGTGCCGATGCAAATGCAAGTTCCTTGCTGGTTAGCAATCGTGATGTCTTCGATGGCTTTGCCGCCGCTGCACATGGCGCGCCTGCTGTCTCCTCTGAGGCGGCTCAGCTTTGCGATCGAACATACACTTGGGAGGTAGCTGCAAAGTTGGCCGATGGCTTTGTGCCCCGGCGCTTCCTCTTCGCAGCGCCTCAGGTGGCAAGTACACGAGCTGCGACAATGTCCCAGCCCAAGGCCTCCAAGTTCCCCGCCCTTGTTTCTGAACATCAGCAGGTCCTGTTGGTGCGCGGTCACATGGACTGGCCGGTTGCCCGCATGGAGCGTTTAAAGTCTGACCTTCAATTGCCTCCTCACCTTCATTGCCCCTTGCGTGTCCTTCCAGCTGGCGCTCAGTTGCTTCGGGTTACTAAGACGGTTAAAAAGGGGGTTGGTTCGGGGTTTTCGGGTGAAGAGTGGGTGTCGGCTTGGGGTGTTCCGAGGGATCCCCAGGAGTTTGTGGCTGCGGCAATCAGGGCCGGACACCCTTGCAAGTGGGAAGCTGCTCTTCCGCAGGTACTGCAGGATGCCATCCACCGGAATGCATCTTCTTCAGCCGAGCAATTAGCTCGAGACCGAGCGCTCTTTTTCAAGACGTGGCTGTCAAGGGCGAAGGAGTTGGAAAGTGAAGAAGCTTCCTTTAAAGCATCTTTGGCACCCCACGTGTCCAGCATTTTGGCACCGAAACGCTTGCTCTTGTTCAAGGAACTCCTTTCTGCTTATGAGTATCCGGATCCCGAAGTTTTCGATGAGATCACGCGCGGCATCCGGCTCACAGGCCAGACGCCGAACACTGGAATATTCCCGCCGACATTTAAGCCAGCGGTGCGCAAAGCTGTTGATCTTGAACAATGGGCCCCTGGAGCTCGGTCTAGAGTTCTGGAGTGCATCAAACCGCAAGGCGATGTGGACGCCGTGGTCCATGAGAAGACGGTCGAAGAGCGGGAAAAGGGATGGGCTACGGGACCCATTCCTTTGCAATCACTGCCGCAGGACAGCTTGATTAGTCGTAGATTCGGGCTTAGGCAGGGGGAGAAGATTAGGTTAGTGGATGACTTGAGCTTCAGCGGGGTTAACGAATTGGTTACGGTTCAGGAGTCTCCTAAACCCCACGGGCCAGACGTCGTGGCTGCTGCCATGTTGACGTTCATGCGACTCGCCCCAGGAGTGCCCCTTCAAGGCCGACCGTATGATTTGCGGTCTGCCTACAGACAGCTGCCGGTGCATCCAGAATCTTTGCGACACTCCTATGTCGCTCATTGGAACCCCACTGCGGGTTCCATTGAGCTTGACCAACTGCTTGCACTTCCGTTTGGAGCTTCACGGTCAGTGTTCGGATTCCTTCGTGTAGCCACAGCCGTGTGGTGGCTGGGATGTGTGGCGCTAAGCCTGTGCTGGAGCGTCTTCTTTGACGATTTTATTACAATCGCCAAGTCCTGTGACATCGGACACACGGAGGCAACCGTTTGCACCTTCTTCAGACTTCTAGGTTGGCTATTCGACGAATGCGGCTCGAAAGCCGTCGATTTTAGTACATCCTTCAAAGCGTTGGGTGTCTTGTTTAATCTTGCCCAGTCCCCTAAGGGGCTAGTCACCATTTCCAACACCCCAACTAGGATCACTGAGCTAACCACCGTAATTTCTACTTTGTTAGCCTCGCGGAAACTGACAAGGGCGGAAGCACAACGCCTCCGCGGCAGGATGCAATTTTGCGATAGTTTCTTGTTCGGACGGGCCTCGCGCTTGAGCTTGCAGGCAGTGTCACGACATGTGCATTCGACACATGATGAGGTGATTGATGGAGACTTGTGGGACTCGCTGCTTCGTTTCCACAATTGTTTGCAGGAGAGTAGGCCACACGTGGTCACGGCAAATCATCAGGACTCCTTGTTTCTCTTTACGGACGCCTGCTACGAACCCGGCGCCACTTGGTGCGCGGGGCTGGGTGCAGTGGTCTTCGGACCCAAAGGTGAGTGCTTGGGATTCTTCTCCATGTGTGTTGGTGAGCAAGTGCGGAAGAAGCTTGGTGAGGGTATGAAAAAGACTATCATCTTCGAGCTTGAATTCTTAGCCCTACTTGTATCGTTGATACACTGGAAAGACCTTTTCCGAAACCGGCCGCTTGTGTGTTACCTGGACAACAACACTTCGAGAGATGTGTGCATCTCAGGTCGGGGCAAGAGCGCCACAGCGAAGGCCCTTGCAACGGCTTTGCTCTCGCTGGAAGATGCAGGAGAGATTAGGACGTGGTTCTCTAGGGTTCCATCGCCTTCAAACATCGCCGACAAACCGTCCCGCGAGCTTTGTGAATTTCTCGAAATCAATGGAGCCACGATCGTTGCTGACGACGCCTCTCAGGCGCTTCGTGACTGTGTTAGTTTCCTTGGCTGAATCACTTGTGGACACTCTAGGTTAAAAAGGGGAAGTAGCTTGCAGTGTAGCACGCCGCCCGGCTGTGCTCCTTCAGGAAGCTTGCTCTGCTCACGACAGCCAGCTTAGTTGCAACCGCGCCTACTTGTGCAGCTCCTGCTGCTGTGTCACTCAAACCTTTTGCAGTGCGGCAGCCTTGCCGCCTCCGCGTGTACCGCGCAAACTTGCACTCTCAACGAGAGTGCTAAACGACTCGTCGCCCAAAGTCACCACGAGAAAAAAAAAGAGTGAGACCTCCTGAGCTTCGCGAGTTTGGTTTAGGGTTTAGTTACGTTGCTCTGTGCACCTTCGCCCAACCCTAACCTGCAGCAGTTTGGCTCGAGGTGGCTCTAACTTGAACAGTTAAGCGTGTTGGCAGCGCTCCGCTGCTAGCGCCTTAAATGTGAAAGTTTTCTTCTGAATTCTTTTACGGGTGTAAGGAAAAGAATTTGGCCACCTCGAGTTTAGTAAGTTTCCACCTTTTTGGCTGCTTGCCTTTTTGGCAGGTGAAACTTTGCAGATTGCAGCTTGCGTCTTGTTCAAAGGACTCTTCAGCCATTCGCTGACTGTTGGCTTCAAGCTTGAGACAGGCATTGCATGTCAGTGCATGAAACAGCAATGCTCTCATGACATGGATGTTGCACTTGAAATTTTTAGTTCCCGCCCACCCGCCCTGACTGGGGAAGTAGCTTGCAGTGTAGCACGCCGCCCGGCTGTGCTCCTTCAGGAAGCTTGCTCTGCTCACGACAGCCAGCTTAGTTGCAACCGCGCCTACTTGTGCAGCTCCTGCTGCTGTGTCACTCAAACCTTTTGCAGTGCGGCAGCCTTGCCGCCTCCGCGTGTACCGCACAAACTTGCACTCTCAACGAGAGTGCTAAACGACTCGTCGCCCAAAGTCACCACGAGAAAAAAAGAGTGAGACCTCCTGAGCTTCGCGAGTTTGGTTTAGGGTTTAGTTACGTTGCTCTGTGCACCTTCGCCCAACCCTAACCTGCAGCAGTTTGGCTCGAGGTGGCTCTAACTTGAACAGTTAAAAATTTTTGTGTGTGAGCCTTGAGATCCTTCTGCTGTGGTGCCGCACACCGTTGCCAGGGTTCCCCCGACGGAATAGTGGCTTGTGGGCTTGCTCTCGCTGCAAGGGGAGTGAGCACTGGTAGGTGTGGCAGGCCACCCGGTAGACCAGCTAGGATCTTTCTACAAGGCCCCAGGTGCTAACCCGGTGCTTCTAACGAGTGGGGCGGGGCGCTGCATGGTCTTCATTGCAACTAGGGCTGGTCTGCAGCCCCTGCCTTGAGAACGGCCTCGCTTCAGGGCCTTGGCTCGTGGGGTTTCTTCGATGGCTGCTGAAGCTTCGGCCTCCGATCTCTGTGATCGTTTCGAGCGGCACCTCCAGCACTTGACTTATGATGTTGTGGCCCCAATCAGCTATCCCTGGGACAAGAATAAGGCTTTGTCTGCCATCTTCTCAGGAAAACCAGGCAGAAGCGTCGACCTTCATAGCGTCAAGGTGCCTAGGGTCGTGCCGCCGCCGGCCACGCAGTACAGGCGGCCAGGTGATTCAGTCGAGCTGCTGCCGACGGCTCTGCCGTGTGCCAAGGTCGTGCCCGTCTTTGAGATTGCGCTTAAGAAGCCCAGGCTACAGGCAGGTGAGAAGGCCGGAGTCGATCGAGAAAATGTCCTACGTCGGTGGCTCTGTGTTCTGAGCCACTCACCTGGCGCCTCGAGGTTGGGGGTTCTCATATGGGCGCAAGGCGAGTCCGACCCCTTGGGTGTCGTGGCGCAGGCCTTGGCAGGGAAAGCTACATCGACTCTGCTGAAGCGAGCCCGTTTTTCTGCACGATTCGTCTGCTGGGCCGACAAGCATCATATGAAAGCTTTCCCTATGAGCCTCGAATTTCTTGTGAGCTTCCTCAAACCACTTGCTGCCGAAGCCAGGAACAGTGCCATTCGTGAGGCTATGGAGACTGTGAATTTCCTTGAACATGTTCTAGGAATTGAGATCGAACAAGGAATCGGCGACAACCCTTGGGTCAAGGGAGCGCTGCGAGGAGCCAACATTCGCACCTGTGACCCGAAACGATCGAGAGTCCTGAAGGTCGAGGAGGTGCTTCTCCTCGAAGGAGCGCTGATAGACGGCGCCCTTGACAAGGTGGACAGGTACGCCACTGGAGTCTTCTTGTTCCAGCTTTACTCCAGGGCTCGAGTGTCGGATTTGAGGAACATTTCGAAGCTTGAGCTTGACCTTGATGGCGATACGGGTTTCATCGAAGTCAGAACCTATGAGCACAAGAATTGCCGGCTGAGCAGTGGACCGGGGGCCGTGCTGATTTTGGTTGCGCCGTATCATGGGCTTCACCAGAAGCCCTGGGGTGCCGCTTGGGTAGAAGCAGCGAAGGCCGTTGGCTTCGACTTCGAGAAAGGGCATCGCGGGCCGATGCTCCCCCGCCTGGCTTGCGATTACTCTTGGAGCGGGGACGCCATCGATGCCAGCGAGACCACTACATGGATCAGGGCGTTGCTCTCTCGGCTGCAAGCGGCCGAAGAAGATCTTACATTCTCCTCGCATGGATTGAAGGCAACGCCGCTTTCCTGGACATCGAAAGCTGGATACGGTGAGAGGACACAACTTGTCCTGGGACACCATAGCTTAGGTCCAAGTGGGAAAACGCAAGAAGCTTACGCTCGCGAAGTGCAGGCGCAGCCGCTACGAGACCTTGCAGAATGTCTTGGTGCCATCCGGCAGGGGGTGTTCCACCCGGATCGCACAAAGAGCGGAATGATTGCAGATGGTGCGACCATCCGTGGGTCACGCTTCTCTTTGGCACCCATGGGTCGAGCCAATCCTTCGCCATCTCACGAGAGCTTCGAGTGTGCTCCCGAGGTTGAGCTGGCCGAGGATGGAAGGCGTAGAGCCTCTTGATGATCAGGACTTGGGTGAACAAGAAGACGTTCACGAGGCCTCGAGCAGCGAGTCCGAGAGTTCTGGTGAGTCCGAGGAAGAGACTCATTATGAGAGTTTTGGAGCAGGCGAGGCGCAGAATGCGATCCCGTCTGTGAACATGGGTCCTGATTTAGACATTTTTCAGAACCCGAAGACCAAGAGCCTTCACTCACGAGCGAAGGGTTCCACTGGCAAGTTGATCTGTGGAAGGTCGCTTGACAATATGAAGCCTTTCAGTGGGAAGGTCTTCAGCAGTAGATGGTTGTGCAAGCAATGCACAGCAGGCCGACCCCTCCGCGACGCAGGGGCCATGGCGAGTTTCATCGCTAAGAAGCAGGGCGCTTCTAAGTGAGAAATGTCGTGTGACGAGCGATGCTTGCGGATCACCACTTCAGTGTTTCGCTGAGCTTCACAGTCATGTCTGATGGTCGAGTGGTCAATTGCGCATCGATCCAGAGCGTGGTTCGGAGACTCGTTCGGGCGAACAAGGGTTTCAGTGGAACCCTTGGTTTACCTCGTGGCTGCCACGGGGTCCGGACGGGCGGACCAAGCTCGGCGATGCGATGATGACCAGCAGTGCGTTGTCCACATGCAAAGCTTGCAATCGCTGTGTGCATGATTGATCCTTTTTTTGCATGTGCATGTCTCAAGACCAGTTTCTGTGAGGGCACATAGGATCGGAGACCATGGCGCAAACCCTTGTGGAGTCTAAGGCCGTCTTCCTGGAGCGAGCCAAACGTGTGGGCCTCCCACAGGAAGCAGTGGATCGCCTTGTTGCACAGACCATCGACACGATGGCGAAACTAGCATTCGCCCCTTGCCAGCCTGGGGAGACGCCGACCGAGGAGTCGCTGGCGGCCCTCATCAAGGTGGGTGGTGCAGCCCCGTCGTTGGGATCCATCGCAGCGGTTCGACACCTGGTGTTCGAAGCACAGACCCTCTTGGTCAGCCAGACCAAGGCACTCGTGGAGAACAAGGAGAACGAGGTCAAGGAGTTAGCCCCCGCAGAGCGCCGCGAGCGCATCCGAGCACAGGCCCGCAAACTCACAGGCATCAGCATGTCCGGCCAGACTGAGTGCAGCTATGCCTCGTATGACCTCTGCATGAAGCTCCTTACTGACAATTGCATCAGCTATCTTTCCCCGGCCAAGTTCATCACTCGCGAAGCTGAGCTGCGTTCCGAGAAACCGCGGAAGGAATTGGATGTGCAAGCTTCCACACTGGTCGTGAGAGATCGTGACCCCGATCAGTCATGCGATACTTCCACTGCACTGAGCCTTCACCATGCCATGCACCGTCGAAGCCTTGCTCTTGACTTGATCGGTGTAACTGATTACTTTCGGGTTCAGGGCTTCGTGGATTTCCTCTTGGGCCACCTTCATCAGGAGCCCATTGCTGGTAGCCGTGCCACCTCTGTGCAACAAATTCTGCATGCGGACCGAGCTGCCTGGATGCGCCTGGCAGAGCTCACCCCCGACGGGATTCGTCGAGATGCAGCCGGGGCTTTGCCTCTTGACAGTTTGTGGGCCCGCTTGCAGACCGACCCGAAGGTAATTTTTCATCTCCTCCCGCGGGAAGGTGGAGCCCTCAAACGAGAACACAACGAGATCAAGCCTGACCTCACAGACACCCCGACCAAAAAGCAGCGCAAAGGTACTGGAAAAGGCAAGACCAAGACATTGCGTGAGCCCAGCAATCTCCCAGAAGAACTCAAGGGCCTTTCGTCTTGGACTAAGACCGGAAAGCGCCGCTGCTGGGGTTTCAATATGGCAAGTGGGTGCGCTAATGCCAAGGTCGGCCAATCCTGCCCCAGGGGCCTGCGCAACTGCATGCGTTGTGGCGGTCACCACCCTGCGCATGCGTGTCCAAAGAAGCCATGAAGTGCATGCCTGCCTGAGCCCGACAGCGTGCCACCATCGTGTTTTCCATCGCCCAGTGTTTCATTGGATGCTTCACTGAGCGCCTCAACCCCGCAAGCATCAGCCGCTGCACCCAGCAAATCACATTGTTTTCCTTCGAGTCCTGCTGAGGCTGTGAGCCCTGTGGAGGGGCCGCTACTTGATGCCGGGCACTCTCTTTGCGGCGCTGATGCTTTCAGGATTGATTCCCTCTTTTGCATTGAAATTTTCTCAGGCTCAGGCAGGCTTACTGCTGAACTTCGGCGTGCGGGGTTCCGAGATAGCATCGGAATCGACCATGTTGCCCCAAAGCAAATGATTTCTCCCGTCCTTAAGCTGGACCTCTTGGATCCCGAACATGTAAAGATGGTTCTTGATCTGATCGATTCTCCCTTTTGCCTTTATGTCCACATCGCTCCCCCTTGTGGAACAGCGAGTCGTAAGCTCCTGGGCTCAAATTCTTTTGTAGTTGGTTTTGGGGCGGGGTAGCGGCAGTTCCGTGGCCAATCGTGTCACGAGGGTTGTCTCCCTGTGGAGGCAGCGCACGGCGATTTTGCTTTGAACCGGGCTTTGGGTTCCAACAGGTTCGCTTTCAACCGGGCCCCCTTTCGACGCTGTAGTTCAGATGCCATGGTTTCCAATGCACATGCGAATGCTTTTCTGTCTATGGCTTGGAGCAACATTTGTGCAAGAAGGTGTGTCCTGCAGTAGCTCATACTACCCCAGTGGGCTCGGAAGGCCGAGCACAGCTGAGCTTGAAGATTCCACAGGCCACTTTCTGTGCAGACCTTGTGTGCGAAGTGAATTGCAGCTCACAGCCTTGCGTCTTGCAGTAACCTTTTCATGTCGCTTTGAAGCTGTGTGTTTTGAGCATGACGGCAGTCTTTTCGGGTCTAGGGGGCTCCAAGCCGTTGACCGTGCACACGAGCAGTGGGTACCCCAGGCCTTCGAGGTTTTTCGAATGCCAGTGTTCAACCCCACACCAGGTCGTGCTGAGGAAGGTGTTCCGCCGTTGCCGGGGGCCACAATGACTCGTGATGGCGAGCTCTGTTTGTCACTGTGTGCCAGATGGCCAGAACTTTCGGCTGATTCGACTTATGAAGGCATATGTGAGCAAACCTGTTCAGGACTTGTGCGTAAAAACCAGGACTCCCACTCGTGTGTCTCAACCTGCAGGAGGCCTCACGGACAAGGATGCCGTGACACCCAGTCGATGCCTAAGCACCTGACGATAACCTGCCAAGTCGCTTGCAAGCCTGAGCCTGTTCCTGTGTTTTCGGTGCCACAGATCTGTGCTCGGGCGTTTTTCCGTGCATCTCAAGACTGCCTTTTGTGCTCCACTGCGCAGACTGGTGCTTACCAGGCGTTGCCTTGCGCCACATGGGTTCCCGCTCCGATCGGTCCCGCTCGCCCCTGCGGGGGACACTGCGGGCCAGCGTGGATCAGATGGTTACCTCGCTGTCAGGGGCACCGGGAGCTGGAGCAGGGGGGGCTGGAGCAGGAGCTGGAGATGAAGCTCATCGTCCCGGAGGTCCGCCGGCTCCGACCCCGGCAAGCACTGCAGGAGATGAGCGCCCGGCATTTGGGGTATCAGGCTTGGCTGGTGTGGCTGGTGTGGCACCCCACACTCCTGCAGCCCTCTTTGCACCTCCGAATGATGCTACGCCTTTGTTCAGCATTACCATTATGAGATGATTAGGGCTACGCAGCCAGTCAACATAAAATAATTAATTTTGCGAAATATTGCGAAATCTTTGCGTTATGGTTTTGCGTTTTTTTTGCTCCCCGGATTTCGGGTTGCGAAATGGGTTGCGAAATGTTTGCGAAATCTTTGCGAAATCTTTGCGTTATCTTTGCGTTTTTTTGCGTTGTTTTTGCGTCTTTTTTAGAACATTTGGAACATTGCAAAATATAGCGGAAATAAGCATTTTAGTTGCTGTTTCGTGTTTTTTCAGTATTTGTTTATTATATCCATATATTATAGTTGTATGACGGTTTAGCAAATATATACTGACAAACATATTAAACCAGTTGTCATGTTTACTTGTGTAACTGGTAGCCAAATTGCGCTTTTCCATTTATTGCTCAATTGTTACGAGCTCTCCTCATAAGAAATGTTTGGTCGTGTTTCTCGTTTGTCTCCAAATGTTTCTTTGCTTGACGTGCTTTGTTGGTCTCCACCTGTTGCTGCTGCCTAATCTTGCAGGGAAATTAAAACCGCCCGGCAATTTGGGATTGTCAATGAGATGTGTGCAGGAACACCTGACCAGTGACCACAGTCGATGATTAGCCACTCAGTTTGTCTCTGTGTTGGCCTCATCGTCGATCGACATAGATTTAGAGATTGTGGACTTCCTCAAAACCGTGTGTGTGTGTGTGTGCGTGTGTTTTGTGTGTGGACTTCTGATTTATAGTCATAGCGAGATTAGAGTGATTAGAGTAGACTCGACCAGTTCTTGGGGTCTCAACAAATTGCAGTTGGTAGGAGAAAGGCTGTTGCATCCCGGCCCAACCAGATTCAGATCCGGTGCGTGTCTACTGATCAGTTTGGCAGAGCCGCAGCATGCCTATGGCCTCTATTCTGCCGATCGTCTCGCCACACCAGTGGCTGTGTCAGTTGTTGCTTCGTGCATAATGGTGTCTTGGGGTAGCACGCTTCGATTCCTTGGGCCCTGCGATTCCGAGTAGTCTGTCTGAGTGCTTCACAAACGTGCTGCACAGTGTTTAAGCCACAAGGGCTCAAACAGGTTTTGATGAAGCTGTGTGTCGAGTCAATGCAGTTCAGCATTTTTGCCGATGTCAGCAGCAAGTATTGATTTTATCACAGTTTATGACGTTTATGATTATGTGATTATGCGATGATGGCCACTGTTTGCTCAGCATTGCCAGCACGTAGCGACGTAGCAGGCAGCGACAGGTTACACTTACAGTTGCAGCATGGCACAGGGACAGGGACCTTCAGTTCTCAGTTCTGAGGTAAGGGCAGGTAGGACCAGGTAGGTAGGTCGCCAGACAGTAAACATATACTTATACCCTGTAAACCTGGTAATCCTTTTGTTCAGGGCACGTGCAGCCATGGCTGCCGAGTGGGAAGATGTTTTGCGAGAGGAGCTGGGTGAGGAGGATCTGGCTCACCAGATCGACCGATGTGATTTTATCCGCACACCTAGTACAGCTGACATGTCAGAGAATGAGAGAGGGGAGGGCGGAGAGAGCAGCGGTGGCAGCAGTGGTCGTCGGCTCCCGAGCACGTGGTGGGCGGCCCTTCTGCAAGCAGCAGGGCGTCACTTGGGTTTCGATGATATATCTCTTTCACAATCAGAACATGTGAACGTTCTCAGTGCATGCACCGGTTGCAGTGCCGAGTCTTGGGTTCTGAAGGCCGGGCCCCCAAGGATCACCAGTGTTTCTTTCCATGGTTGGGTTAGGACGGTTAGGACGGTTAGGACCGTTAGGTTAGGACGTGGCGCTGCTTGCTTGAGTCACAGTCTTGTTCTTGGCAATGTTGGGGTTTGCGCTTGTGCGCCGTCGTAGAGTCGTAGAGTCCTTATGTCGTAGAGGCATGGTGTAGGCTGGCATCGACCGACTCAATCCTTAGTCACACTCACCAGCCACTAGCAGTAGCACTAGCCTTAGGCCTTAGGCCTGCGTCCTGAGGTTTAATGCATTGGGTAGGGTTAAAGTAGCCACTTAGCTTGGCCGTTAGGTGTGCTTGAAACTTACTTAGCACTTTGGGGCATGGTTGGATATTAGATTCTGCCAGGTTTGCGGGGGGGGGTCGGGGTGATGTATCATCAGCACAAAGTCTTAGGCCCAGGCAGGCTGTTCGAACAACCCCCATCCAAGCACGATTTTCCACGACATTGAGCTTGAAGCCAAAGCCGAAGCATGTGTATGGTTTAGGCAATCAACGAAACCCAGATTTGCACAGCAAAAAAGACACAGGCACTCTGTTTCTTTGCAACTTTCCAGGATATTGGCCTTTGTTGTGTTCGAGCTTCTGCGGTTTTGCTGCTGCTGCTCAGTTGACACCGAACTCAACTCCCGAAACTCCTGCAACCTTTTGATCCGTACTGAGCCGCACTGGTCTGCTGCAGGCCCTCGGCATCAAGTTTTCGGTCGTTTCAGCCTCGGACACTGATGCTGATTACCGGGCTTTCGTGATGGAGAACTTTCCCAACGAGATTCAGCACATGTTCTGCAGTATAGAAGATCAAATATCAGTTGCAGCAGAAAGACCTTCGAAGTGCCCTTGCTTGGCATGCCTTGGAAACACTGAAGAAGCTGTGTATGGCGCAACCGATGAAACTGTAGACCTCATGGTGTGTGGCTCCCCTTGTGACCCATACTCCGTGCAGAGACACAAGAGGCATTGCAACGGCAACGTGGAAAGTCATTCACTTTTCAATACTACTATGCGCGACATGGTCCGAATGTTCGAACTTTATTCTCCGGTCGTGGCGATCACCGAACAGGTCCCAGGTTTCCTGCTGCCTTTCCACAACGCTACCACAGAAACGCCGTATGACAGGCACCGGACGGACAGCACAGGGCACAGGGAGACTTAAGTAAGATTCACGACTTCTCCAAGAATGCAAGGTAAGGCAAGGCTTCAGGAAGATGTGCAAGGCTGGAGTGGGGTTTAAGTTTAAGGCTAGTTTGAGGTTTAAGGACACGGGCTTCATCAGATTACTTAGGCCAGGTTTCAGCTCGTTTAGCCCAGTGCAGCAGTGTAGTCAGTGTGGTACTGGTAGTGAGTGTAGCAGTGTAGCATAGAGTGTAGTGCAGATTCGCCATAGATTTTCCAACACTGAAAAACCGAATATCCAATCAGCATCGTGTAGATTCTGAGTCGATGGTTGTTTGAAGCATTCAGGCAGCAGGCAAAGCAATGGCCGAGGAATTCAACCCTCAAACTCATCAGTCTTGAAATGGAGGCTGTTCGACTTATTTGGTACAGAGCACTCAAGTCAGGAAGTCAGTCTGCCAAGATCATGAAGGTGCCAGGCAGTTCTGTGAGATCCATTCCAAGCTTAGATGTGCATCCCAGAGGCTAATAAGGGAAGTGTTCTTGACAGTCACTAGGCCCTAGGCCCAAGGCAGCACATGTTTCTGTTGTCCCACATTACAGGCTGCTGCTGCACATGAAGAAGGGGAACATGAAATTTGGTGGCTACTTCTTGGTGAAGTTCGAGATGGATTCTGCTCTATGGATGCAGATGTCTCGGCCCAGGCGCTGCGGGTTAAGCCTGGATTTTGGAGTAGTTTGACACATTGTGTTCGAGTCTGAATCAATTGGCATTTTGCGAATCTATATATGTGGTTGTCGCTTCCTGTGACTCATTGCAGCTGTAGCAGTAGCAGCTGCAGCAGCACTTTGACAGTGTAAAGTCTAAGCAGGGCATCGGCCTTGGCCGGGTCATTAACCTGGGTAAGACCGGGTAAGAAATCCGTTAAAAGCTCTGCAGCTTTGGGTGTTCAATGGGGTTATTCCTGGTATAAGGACTTTGGACTTTGGAAAATTGCACTGTTGACTCTTGGGTCTTGAGTTTTCTGAGTAGTCTGGCAATAGCTGGTGCTCCCGTGCGGTTGGACCAGACCCCCTTGTTTGGCTTGGTTTCTCGGCATGGTCAATCTGTAGCTGTGAGCTGTAGCTTCACTCGCTGCTTCCTTGCTGCCATTGGGGACCGAAGCCGAGAGAATGCCAAAGGCCAGGGTCAGGGGTTTCCCAGAACTTCAGTGCTGAACTGTCGAGTTTCAGTCCGTCTGTAGATGGATGTGGATCTTTAAGTTTCACATGTGCAAGGTTCTCAAGTATCTGCTAGCTGCTAGCTGCTAGCTAGATTCTCGAGTCTAGAGTCTAGAGTCCCTTGAAGTTCCCTGAAGACATCTTTCATCTGGTGACCAGATGCTTTTCTATGCTATGCTATGCCTATGTAGAGTCTATGTCTGGTGTCTAGTCACTAGTCTAGTCTATGTCGTTACATTACCATTACATTGTGTGCTTGTGCTCTAGTCTCCCGTCCATGCCTGGCCTACCTACCCGGATCTACCCCAACCGCGAGGTTCCAATTCTACACGGCCAGGGGTTTTTCGTGAGTCGACTGTTCTCAATCCTCGGACCAAGCAGCCATGGTCGAGCCTGACAGTCGGTGTCACTAGGTCTAGGTGCAGCTGAGTGGCAGCCACAGCCAGGAACACAGCTCAGACTTATTGTTTCCAGAGTTGCATGGTGTCTTTCAATCATTGAATAGAGGTGCAAGATCCACCAGACGTATTATTTCCCGTGTGGGTTTGTGTTGGGTGTGGTCGTCTACGGCCTATGCATATGATGGAGTAGTCATTAGTCTTTAGACTTTAGATTCTAGTCAGAATCAATCTTTTTCATTTGCTTTTGATCGTTGAACTACAGAGTGGTTCTCCTGGGTCCTAGGTCGTGTTCTGTAAACGTCTAACAGAATCTCACGTCTTCCCCAACCCCCACAGATCTGAGGATTTCGATGCTTCCGACACTGTGAGCCGAAGAGTCTGTGGGTCTGTGGATTGCGCCCGAACTTGCCGAGCTGTCAGCTCCAACTTCTGGCCGGTCTGACTCCGCACTAATGTTTCAGGACACGGAGCATGCCACATGCTTGGGAATGTTTTTGACATCCAGCTGAGGCATCAGGCCTAGGACCTAGGACGTAGGAGACGTAGCTAGGACCTAGGACCAGCTAGGACCGAGGGTTTCTGTTGTTGTGCGGTCCAGTGAACGAGTGGCTGTAGATTTTAGATTGCTTTGGATGTCTGAAGCACAGCTTCACAATGCATTACAACATTACAATTACGATGGCTGAACAGTGGACAGCTGTTTGGACCAGCTGCAGGTTTCAATAAGAACTATTCCCAATCTTGTGTGGCTTGAACACCTCTTACCTTTGTGGCCCTCAACAGTCTCAACAGTCACAACACAACCTGATCAGGATCATAATGGACCGGGAGCTTGATGAGGCCATCCGTGATGTCATTGGACCGTCCGACGACGACGACTCTCAGCCCTCTGCAGCAGTGGCAGCGACTAGGACCAGGAAGCCTGGCCGCGGCCGTCCGCGTGGATCTGTGCTCTTGCGGCAGAATCTGCATGAAGTCTCTGATGCGGTGGATGATGCGGCTGATTCTGCACAGCAGGGCCAGGTGCAAGCCGTGGCGCCTGCTGTCGCAAACCCTGAAAACAGGATGAACCGGGTAAGGGAGCAGAGACTTCAAAGAATGGCAAAGAAAGACTGGCAAGGGCTAGGACCAGCAGATCTGATGATTCGAATGGGTAGTCCTGTGCAGCGATCACTGGCTGCTGCACTTGTGGACATCAGAAGCAGTGCTGCAAAGGGCAGAGGCGGAGTGATGACGGAGCCCAAGGCAGAGGAAGCAGGGTCACCAGAGATGATTGATCATGTCGTCAATGGCAAGGTTCTCACAGCTTCGGCTTCCTTGCTTGCCAGACTCACAGGCAAGGAGGCATCGGTTGCGCAAGGCACTTTAGTTGCTGCCGGTGCCGCCACAGCTGAGACCAACGGCATCATGTTGGGTTCCATGCTTTCTGATTTTTGCAAGATCGCAGTCCAGCAGGGATTGAAACCTCTTCTAGCTGTGACAAAAGTTAGATATGATGAAACTCCTGCCAAAGTTCGGATATGCAGAGCATCGTTCAATGATCAGGCTTCAGACGGTGTCAGGGAAGGCAGTGTCAGTGGCGACATGTCACAGTGCGTGATTGTGCCACACGCATGTGCGAAGGGTCCAGCACTACAGAAGTTCTTGCTGGGCAATGGTGCCTCGTTATCGTCGCATGTTGCACATGTCGCGACTCATGCGAAAGTCCTCCAAACACAAGTTGCAATGAGCTTCGTGTTCGCTGAGAAAGATGGGGACTGCCATTCGTTGACATTTGATCTTCCGTGCCCACTCCAGGTCATTGAGAGAACCACTGGCGAATGTCAGCGCATGTGTATCTGGGAGTCACTCACCCAGATTCCAGAGTACAAGCGGCTGGTCGGCGGCTTCCAGCATCAGGTGCGGTCCGTTTGCACGGACCGTGCTGGTGCAAACTTTCGGACAGAACGTGGTCTGCAAGAGTGGCTGCCGAAACAGGTGTTGATTCACACCCCGTGTGATCTTCATAAAGCAGCTACAGCAATCAAACACACCGTTCGATCTTGTGAGTCTGATATGAGTGGACTAATAAACTCGGCATTGGTCAGTCGAGGAGATGCAGGAGCCATGGGTCGCCTACGAGAGATATTGCTGTCAATCCTCGTGTCGACAACCGAGCGTGTGTGTGATGAGTTTCCTCCTCAAGGACGCATCAGTCGGCATCGGATGGAGATGTTTGATCTTTGGCTGCCAACCAAGCATGTGGGTCCAAGTGTTGCCAAGCAGCATCGCAAACGGAGATTCTTGCTGAGCAACCTACTGAACGGCGATTTGCTCAGCTCTGTGCCGCAACATTACTGCCCAGTGGGATGTTGCCAGAGCGATGATGACTTTGTTGGCAAACTCACATCCTTCGGGCTGTGGGCATTGCTGCCTCGGCGCATGCCCTTGCTTTCGAGGAAGAACTGGCTGAACCAGACCCACGCTATGGAGTGGGCAGGATGCCTCGAATCTCATCACCAGTTGTTCTCCAAAATCATGATTGCTTATGTGGGAAGGCCAGCTGCCCCGCCCGCCACAGCCACAGATGGTTCAGCTGGCAGTGCGCTGGATAATGCTGTCCAAGATTTTCTTCTGGAAGACTTGTCTGGAAACAGAAGTGGGGAGCAGGCTGAAGCAGAACAGATCCCTGAGCCTGAGCCGAGTGTTCAGGAACCTTCGGGTGAGCCAGTGTCAGCCACGACAGCTTTTGCAGAAGAGAACAGGCTAAGGCGTTTTTCGGTCAGAGAATACATTTGCTCGAAGCCTCTTCCCCGACTGTGTGTTCTGGAGGAGGTTCTCAATGCCATTCACTTGGTCATGACAGAATTCCTGGCACTTTCCAGTTCTGCATGGGAGCAGAAACAGGCTGCCAAAGCTGCTTTGCAACAGCCTAGAGATTACTTGGTTCTGCAAGCTGCACGAGGCACACAGATCCACCGCTGCATGGACAAGTTGGTCCAAGTTCTGTGCGAGGAACGACTAGACTCAGTCAGTTTTCTGGCCTGCAAGTTTCGTGCTCTTCGTTTTTGCAGTGCAAGTTCCGGCTTGTGTTGCTTACACGGTCTTCTCCGTATTCCTCGCAGGTCAATCACCTATCAGGGCTTTTTGCTTTTGGACAGCAGGAGCCATGCTGATGCCCAGAAGCTTCTGGACACTCCACCGTGCTTGTGACTCTTCCCGGTTCAGTCACTTCAGAATGACATGAGGCATGTAGGCTAAACGCGCCGTCTCGTCCCCGAGATAGCGTCTTATTCTTGACTTCTTGAAAATTCAAAATATGTTTTTGAATGGTGCCGCACTTCAAGAACTTCGGGTCACACATGTTGTTTGATCCAATGGCGCTTGACATATGCAGATTGGCTCTCAGGTGTGAGAGAAAATTTTCTTGCCCACCCACGCCACCCTGGGAAGTCTGTTGTAGGTCCCTGTAGGGAGAGGTGTGCACACCCGTGGCCCGCCGTGGCAGTGCACCCTCTCTAAGTCCCGACCCTGTAGGCTTAGGCTTCGCTAAAGGCGAATCTTAGTGCTTGAAATCTCGAACTGAGATGATTAAGCAAGTGTCGCAGCACCTGCTGCGACAGAACGTGGAGTTGTTGTAGGTCCCTGTAGGGAGAGGTGTGCACACCCGTGGCCCGCCGTGGCAGTGCACCCTCTCTAAGTCCCGACCCTGTAGGCTTAGGCTTCGCTAAAGGCGAATCTTAGTGCTTGAAATCTCGAACTGAGATGATTAAGCAAGTGTCGCAGCACCTGCTGCGACAGAACGTGGAGTGCTCCCTTGCTACCGACGGAAAAGAGTGTTGAGTGTGCGTGTGCATTGTGAGTGAAGCCTGCATCGTCTATTGCTCAGACTTGTGTAAGTTTTGTGCGGCTCTTAGTTCAAGAATAAGTTTTCCATTTTTTGCAAACAATCATTGACAGTTTGTTGGGCTGGCTGCTAGCTTTTGCTTTGACTTTGACTCTTTGACCATTGACACTCCGCCTGAAGAGTTCCTGAAGGAGCTTGGGCCAGGGTTTTGGGTCCGCGGTCGCAGGTTCTGGATAGATAGATAGACTCTATATTGACTCTAGTCTCCGGCAAATAATTCCTGATTCTTCTTTTGCCTCAGGGGAGGGAGGCTCAAGGCTTAAAGCTTAAGGCTTAAGGCATAAACCTTTAAGCCTTTAAGCCTTAAGGGGTAGGCCAAGCCGTAGACGTAGAGGCCCCTAGAACCCCTCGAATCGGGAGGGCTTTATAACACATTTCGACAGAGTTTCGAAGCATTGTCGGAGTCAGCTGCAGCATGCTGCTAGCCCAAGGAAAGATGAGTTCTTCAGTTTCATGTGCAGAACCTTTCCATCACCAATGTCCCTGCTGGGAAAAGATGCTATGGCAATTCTGCAAGCCACAGCAGCCAGCATCAGTGTGGACATCGGCGAGATAGAGTCGTGCCACTCACTGACACGAGATTTCATCAATGTCAGAGCCAAAGGATGGGTGAGTTCCTTGGAAACTGTATCGGCCTTGCATATCCTGCAACAGCGGCGCAAGATTGTGAAAATGACTACTTCCCGAGCGGCTGATGCGAGAGCGACAACCCAAGACATGAAGAAGCCCGGGCCGAAACGGAAGGACTCCAAGGAGAAAAAGAAGGGAGGTGGTGGTGGTCCTTGGAGGGCCTTCGTCAGCTATCGTCTGCGTGGAGTCAGGGCTTCCAGCCGAGACGACGACAACATCTTCGCAGACCTTGCAGAGGAGTATCAACACCTGGGTGATGCTGACCGAGCATGGTTTGCTGATGTAGGTCGTGCGGGCACACTGGCTCACAAGCGAGGCCACAGGGCTTTTGGCGACACTTCGTATGCTCGCCGCATTGCAGATGGCTCAGATGGCAGACATGACGATGCCCAACGGGATGCTGCTGCTGATGCCGCCATCGTGGCGCATGATGCACCTAGATTCGACTTTGGCTTGGTGCCGGTCGCCGGCATGGACTTGGCTGCCAAATATTCGGAATTCAAAGAAGCTTTGGAGAAGGAGGCCCGTGCCTCTCAAGGTGACCCGCTTGCTTTGACGGTGGCCGAAGCATCCAAGTTGGACATGATTTCAGCTGATACACAGGCCCTTCTTGTGAGAGAGGCTTGGGAACGTGGCGGTCATGCTGAGCTTCAGAGCAATATGACTCGGCAGCCTTCTACACCAGCAATCAAGCACGCTTACCAGTGGACGCCTCCTACCGACAAAGCTGTCAAGGCCCATCAGATTCAGGTTGATTGGTGGCTATTGATTAGTTAGTTATGATTCATGGTCAGTCGGTTAGTCTGTGGCCGACTTTGTTTTCCGAGGGTCGTTTGGGATTATTGCTTCCTTGCTGTGTTGGGCTGCTACATTTCTGCCACTTACGGCTTACGGGGCTGCTGCTCTTCCGGAGATCGGCCTTGGCTGGGGTCTGGAGAGTTTGGAGTCTGGAAGTTTAGTTTGAGTGTTTGAGTTTTGAGGGTTAAGGCTTAAGGCTTAAGGCTTAAGGCTTCAGTTAAAGTTAAAGCTTAAGGGCTTAAGGGTTAACGGTTCGGTTCGGTTAAGTTAAGTCAAGTCAAGTGTAAGTGTAAGTCTTAAAAGTCTGAACTGTAACTTAAATTTAAATCATTTAGTCAAGGTCAAGTCAATTACTCGTGCTTGAATTGTATGCTGTAGGTTTACTTTAGTTTAGTAGGTTATCGTAGGTCGTAGATAGGCCCTAGGCCCTAGGCCCTAGCCCTGGCCCGAGCCCTAGCCCTAGGCTTTTAGGCCGGCTTAGGCCGGCAAGTCAGTGTGGGACAACTATAACAACTATAGTAACTATAGTTACTACTATAGTATACATGGTATTACTTAGTATGAATATCACATAATCAACAGTATAATCCGGACCTCACGGCTCAGTACAGTTTAATCAGTTGAATCGTAAGTTTAATCATTGTCTGTATCAGTATAATAATAGTACAGCAGTTAAACTAGTACCTAGTTACTAGCAAAACTTAACATTATAATATAACAGCTTCGTCTAGCAGGCCAAGCAGCAGGTAGGCAGTGGCCAGGCCATAGGTCGGTTAGGTCAGTTAGGTAGCAGTCACTCAGTTAGCAAGTAGCAGGTGCCAACGAGCGGCCACCAGCCGCTCGCCTCGTGTCAGTGTTGTCAAGTGTTGTCATTTGCAATTTTCCTCTTATTCTGTTGGGTGTCTAGAGTCTAGAGTGCCAGTCTCGGTTGTGTCCAAAGTGTACAGTCTGCTACAGAGTCTACAGAGCCCAGGACCTCGGACCTAGGAGTGCAGAACCTGTTTCGCAGAGAGACAGCAGGCATAGACACAACAACGGCAACGAAGTGGTAAACTGGTCAGCTCCTGAAATCGAACTCCCAAGGGTCAACCAAATGATTTAAATATAAAAGAATTCGTAGCTGGTTGAGGTTGTAGTGAAGTGCTTGTAGATTGCAGCGTACAGTGCACTGCACACTCCCGACTGTTGTGTGGTGCAGTAGGTCGGTGTATCCCACAGGAATGCAGGAAATTTGGAGTGGGGGCACTGTAAGTCTTAGCAGCTACCAGCAGTCTAAACATCACCTGGCTTGCAGGACCTGTTGAAGGACTCCACCGCAGGTGCGAGACGGAAGCACAAAGTGTCAGCGACCTTAAGAGCTGCTTGGAGCAAGCGCTGCGGGGTGCACATGCACAAGAGCCAGGAACCCATTCCGGCAGTGGTTCCTGGTGCATTCGTTCCCAAGCCCTGCTTTGGCTTCGGTGTCTGTGTGTGTGTGTGGCAAGTCGCCCGCATCTTGCCCTGATGCTGCGTTTATGTCTCAGAACATGCAGCAGTGGATGCGGGCCACATTCTACAAGACGAATAAGGTTCCCGGCACGGCCAGAAAACTTCTGGAGCAGCAGTTGCTCGTACTGGCCTTCGAACCGGGCCCTGCGTGGCTCTTGGAGGGTGACAATCAGGAGGGGCATGTTCCATGTCCTGATGATGCTCAAGTGCCAGATCGTTTGTTCCTGCACATCGGGCATTGCAATTACAGTACCTGGCATTTCGTAGGGATGCGAATGAATGTTTCTGAAGAGCATGAGGAATTTCGTGACATGGACTCGGGATGCAATGTGCTTCAGGTGGCCGTGACTCCACCTGAGTTAGCCCCGGAAGGCTACGATCATGGCGTTGTGAGCGACTTGGAGTTTATGGCCAAGATGGACTTGACACGGTCATGGAAAGTTAAGGGCCACATGATTTCACTCAGCGAGAAGCATTGGCAGCATCTGGATGCCTCTTCCCAGGTTGTCCCCCTCTTGGATGTGCAGTTGTCTGATCTGGAAGGCCAGGATGTCTTCTGGGTTTGGCGTGGGTCTGTTTATGAAGCCGACCAACGATCCAGACAAGCAGCCAAGAAAACCAAGCAGCGGGGCCGTGGTGAAAAACGAAAGGCTGCTGGACCTGCAGACAAGAAGAAGGCCAAGAAGCCCAAGCCAGCAGAGCCGGCCGGTTCTGCAGATGTGGCAGATGAAGGTACGGCTCAGCATGCAGCCGAAAGCCTGGACATAGAGACCATTGGTGAGTTGCTGGATCCGTACGGCGAGCGTGCCCATGGGTCAGAAGATGAACAACCGGATGCTCAAGAGCCGAATGATCCTTCTGCCGAGCTTGATGAAAGACCGATGGAAGTGCATCCTGCAGGGGGAATCGGATCTTGGAGTGATGATGAGGAGGCTTGCCCGAACACTCCCGAACGTGTTCCGTCTGAAGCCAGTATGGACGACTTCATGGACCACTTGCTGCAGCAGGGCTCTGAGGCAGTTGAAGCAGATGAGGATGTGAGGCCGAAGCCCCACGATGCAGGGGCTTCTCCTGCCGGCGAACTGGCAGCCGAAGCCGCCGATGCACCCAATCCGGCTCGGGGATCTGGTGATGATGCAGCGACTGAGAGACCGGACCGTGCGCCGTTTAGAAAGAGTGAGTTCCAGCTCACCTGTGGCAAACTTCGGTACTATGCCCACACGAACACACTCATCGCGATATGCGACAACCCGGCGCATGACGACTGCCGAAAAGAACGGTCGCTCCTGGCTCACCCACGTTCCAAAGGCCGTGGCACCCTGGGTGGACAAGGGCGTCCACTCGGTGCCCTCGTGCACTGGCTCAGATCCCAGTTTGAGTATGACACTCATCAGAAGCACATGAAGTGCAAAGGTAGCAAAGCTGAAAGACTGCAGGCTCGAGAGTGGCTGGCAACTCAACTTGGCCCTGAGGATATGGAGCGGCTGAACTCCCTAGAAAGACCCAGAAGAGAAGACGAAGATGAGGAGCCTGATGCCATCCTATAGACTCTGGACTATAGAAGTCTGTGTCGCTTAGCCGCTAAGCTACCTGTGCAGCTTCAAGATGCCAAAACGAAGCATTCCTCCTTCCGTCTGTACGTGCGTGTGTCGGGGTGTGCGGGGTTCTTGGGATTCAATTTCGTAGAGTCGTAGACCGTTGCCTTCGAGAATTTCTGGATTTCGGGATTTGGTCTTCAATATCCGAAAATCAGCCTTGGTTTGCTGGCTCAATCTTCACTGTGGCTTATTTCAGCTTCTGGAACTTCATCATCACTGGCTTTTGATCGCCATTCATAGTTTCCGTGTCTGACTAGGTCGAGTCGAGAGTCTCGGTCTGGCTAGGTCGGCCAGGTCGACTAGGTCTGGTTGCTCGGCTTACATAGTGCTGTTGGCTCTAGGTGGGGTACCGATTCCTAGGTCCTAGGTCCTAGGTCCTCTGAGCCCACACCTGTGCACCGTGAACCCTGCTTTACCTTGATGACCTCCTGCTAGTTACTAGTTACTCGTAACACTAGCAGCAGTCACTAGCACTAGCAGCAACAGTGGCAGTGCCCCAGTCAGTCATTGCTGAGTAACCTCGGAAGCTGCAGCAGATGTAGCACCCAATGTACCAGCGGCAGTGTAGCAGCGTGGCACAAAGTCGCAGTCCAGGAACAGAAGTAGCAGTCGCAGTCGGACGACCAGTAGGTCAGTAGGACTGGCAACAACATCTCGTCGTTTTCGCCCCTGTGGTCAATTGACAAAGTTTCCTGCCTAGCCTTTCTTCAGCCTTAGAGAGCCTTTGAGCTTAAAGGATTAAAGCCACACCTTAGAAAAGACCCAAGTTCCAGTCTGGGCAGGTGTTACATCATCTTCTTCCGCAAGGACAAATTCGAGAAAGCCCACGTGAAGCGGTTCAAGACATTGGTTGAGGCCAGTCAGTGTTTTGTGAGAGACTCTCATTCCAATCTCTGTGGCAAAGGCCAGCTTTGTGCATTCTGGGAGTTGGGTATGGGTACCGGGTAGAGTCCAGTAGAGCAGCAAACTGTTTGTTTGTTTATCGGCGCAGTGTGGTGGCCAGTGTGGTGAGTGTGGTGCATTGCTTGACAAGATAAGCTTGCCAAACATGTGAAGAATTCCCGTGAGGGCTTGAGCACTTAGCAGGCTAAGCATGCACTAAGCTGCCATCTTGGTTATGGCAGTCTTGGTTATGGCAGGATATCTTGGATTGGCTGGCTGCCAATCATTCACCGAGATCTATGACCTCGCTGATGCTGGAAGAGTGCAGTCCTCTTTTCGCAGAGGAGTGGCAGCAGACGTGCAAGCAGCGTCGGGGTGCACAGGCAGCAAGCCTGCAGGTGGGAAGTTTCCAGTCCAAGAGCTCATGCATCATGCTCGCAAGCAGCAACTCTCAACATGGATCACAGTCAGGTTTTGCTCCAGTGCACAGTGTACACAGTGTACAAGCTGGGAAGCCCATGTGACTTAAAACACAAAATACGTGTTGGTAAACATCATTTTGGCTGCCACGGTTCGCTTGAGTGGGTTCGGGCAATGTGGTGCCAGCTCGAGGGGCAGGGGGTCAGGCCCGGTTAGGCTTGGGTACAAGGTCGGATAGGGCGGAGTTTTGGGGGGTGGTGATAGCCGAAAAGGTGAGAAAAGCGAGCGAAGGGGAGCTGGGCAGATAACGCAAAGATTTCGCAATGCTGGGAGGGGAGGGGCCGGGGCCAAGCAAAGATAACGCAAAGATTTCGCTTTGCTGGGAGGGGAGGGGGCGGGGGGGAGCAAAGATAACGCAAAAAAAACGCAACCAAAACGCAACCAAAACGCAACCATAACGCAAACATTTCGCAATTTTCGCAAATTTCCACCAAAACGCAAGGATAACGTAAAAAAAACGCAACCATAACGCAACCATAACGCAACCATAACGCAATGTTTCGGGGGGGAGGTGGAGGGGGGGGCCGGGGCTGGGGGAGGTCGGGCGGGGTGGGGGGCCGGGCTTGGGGGGGTTTGGAGGGGGTGTGCGGGGCTGGGGGGGCGTGTGGGGCTGGGGCCTGGAGGCCTGGGGGGGGCCTGGGGGGGGCCTGGGGGGGGCCTGGGGGGGGCCTGGGGGGGGGGGCGTTGTTGGGGGTTGAGCCGGGGCCGGGGCACCGTCCCACCGACCGGAGTGGGGGGGTTGGGTCGGTTGCGGCTGGTTGGAGGGGCAACAAATTCATGCTTGCAGACCTGCATACCAAGAACCAAAGCCAGAAAAGCTATGTCTGAGTCTCACAGTCTTAAAATATTATTCAAATCGTGCAATACTAGCTGCAGTAGCTCACTAGCTGTCAGTGGCTCACTACCAGAAAATCAGTACCAGTAAGCAGTTCTGCAGCTGTAAGACTGTAAGTAGTGTCATTCGTTCACCCTGATTTGGGAGGCACCGCAACGGTGGCAAGTGCAAAGCTCAAAGATCCGTCAAGAGCTGGGAGTGGGCCAGAGCACACAGCTCTGGACATCTCACCCTGACTTGAAACTGGCTGGCGTTCCTGAGAATGCCCGGGTCAAAGAAGTACTAGACCTTGCAGTATATGGGTACCTGGGCAGTGATTTGGCATGTCAGTTGCTTGCAGGGCGTCAGGCAGCTGATGCTGAGGCTTTGAAGTCCATGTGCAGCGAGTTGTTCACAGACATTTCACAAAATCCTTATCGGAAGACCTTCACTCGCAAGAACGGCCATGCTCCATGCATGACCACTGCGACATCTTTCTACTGCCATAGCAGGGATCGAATGGTCCTTCCAGTGGAGATGCTTTATTTTCAAGGTCATGACCTTCGGATGAAGATCCCGAGCCAGATGCCCAGAAGTTCCCTCCAAAGCCTGGCAGGTCAAGGAATTTGCTTGCCAGTCCTGGCAACTTTGGTGTTCTGCTTGCAGAACACAGACAGTTTGCCTGTGTAGCAGTGTAGCAGCCTAGCCGGACAGCAGTCTAGGCAGTGTAGAGGCAATGCCAGCTTGAGCTGAAGCTGCAGTGGCTGCAGCTTCCGTGTGCAGTCTCAGATCTACAGTGTTGCCTTTGCCATGCAGCCGGTTGGCCTGCTGCTGGAAGGTTGTTTAGAGAATATTTCATGTTGTGTGGGCACAGACAGAGACACAGTAGGATTCTGCCCAACCGGCATTCCAGGAGTCGAGGTCTAAAGGACTAGAGTTGACCAGAGGCTGTTTGTACACCTAATGCTGCAGACTGGAGGCCGTCTCGCCTGGGTCCTCGATCAATGATATGAAGCAGAGTGTCAAATTAGCAACCAACAGAACGTGCTCTGGAATTCCTAGATTCTAGATTCTAGCCCACACTTGCTTGCCAGTGCTAGACCCTAGCCGCCCTAGCCAGCTGCCAGGGTGTATCATCGGTAGCCGGTAGCAGTGGCACACATTGACATGGATACCTTCCAGTACAGAAAGCCGGTTGCTGGTGATGCAGAAAAATGAGAACCCTTGTTTTTTTAGCGAAGAAACGATGCGGCAGCCCTTTGGGTGGCTCCGTGCTTGAGGGTGCCACCTGGTGGCTCAGGAACAGCATTCGGTGAGGCCAGCCCAATGTCCAGCTTTTGCATCAGACATACCGGGGTATTAGCATTAGCCAGTAGTCACTAGTCAGTACTAGACTTGCCGATGGGCTGGTTTGCTCACATAGAATGTCTTGTTGCTCGGTGGTCTTTGTTGCTTACCTTGTGGCAGCCTTCTTGCCAGTGCTTGTCTCTGGAGCTGTAGGCCACTGTAGGCCACTTTAAAACCTTAGGACTTTAGGCCTTCAGGCCCTCTTCTAGGACTCTAGGCCCTTTATACTTTATAGCCAAGGCCCAGGCTTGAAGCTTTTCCTTACACTTTACTCCCGGCCCTTCCCTTTGGACGCTTAAGCCTCGCAAGCCTTAGGGAGCCGTTTGTGTCGTTTCTACCAGTGCTGTACCGCTAGGTTAGTAGTGAGTAGTGGTTAGGCCCTGGTTAGGTATGGCCATAGAATCATAGAACTTAGGTCTTGCAACATTTCCAACGATGGCCTCGTGCTGCAACTTTGTTGTTTGATGGCCCGAGTCAACTTCGCACACCAGTGGCACAAAAAACTTCGGATCGTTTCCTTCCCCGGACCATTGACAGAGCTAGCAGCTAATTGAGTTGTGAAAAGGTATACTTGCCGTACCAAGCATGTCTGAGATATTGTGCATCGCTCCTAATTGTATGAGGCCCTAAGACTCTAAGACTATAAGGTACTTCCATGTGAAGTCTACCCAGGGACTCCAAAACCGCTTGATTAAAAACCCATAATTAAAGAATATACCTTAAATTATCACCGGATCCCTCACAGGACTTAAGGCATATTCCTTCATTGAAGCGGTTTTCCAGTCCCTGGGTACAGCTGTTTCTGTTGTGGCCGAGATCCAGAGCAATCCAACAATGTGCTACAAGACCACCCTTTTCTAGAAATTTGTTGGTGCAGTGCCAGCAGTTATATGCACTCAGAGTTTCCCACTTCCATGTTGCAGCATGTATATTTACATGGAGACCCTAAGTCCCGGCCCTCTGTGAAACTTCCCTATTCTGCACCAACTGCTCGGCTAGTACCAAGACTAGACTAGACACTGTGTCAGATTGCTGGGCTGAGCAGCTTATAGCAGCTACCTCACCTGACAGTCTCTGATCACGGGCTCCATAGATCCACACCCGCAATACCCATGGTCCTATGTGGTGAGACACCTGTATTTCACTGGATGCTCTATTAGACTCATGGTGGTGAGAGACCCGAGAGCTAGCTCGTAATGGCTAGAGTAGTACCCCTCTCCATGTGCCAGAATCAGATGTGCCCGTGGGTCGGATTCTGTCGAGTTTTTTTTGGATTCAATGTACGAGTTCCAGCATTGAAGCAGCAGCAAGCGAGGTATGGCATGGCCAGTTTGTCGAAATGGGTTTGTGTGGAGTCCTAGGTCCTAGGTCCCAGGTCCCAGAGTCCCTAGAGTCCTAGAGTGAGCCCTAGAGTACCCTAGAGGCCCCTAGAGTCCCTAGAGCCCTAGAGTCCTTAGAGTGTTGAATCATTCAGTCGGTGACATGCCACTGGCCGCTGCCATAGTATATAGGCCGCCCATCGGCTAATTACGTGCAAGGCATTCGTCAACTTGTGGACTAGGTGACCGGCCGGCGACAGACACGCACAGAAAGTCTTGATATTCAGAAGTTGTCGTGCTTCGCAGGCTTGCAAAATTCGTGTAAATTTTGGGAGGTTTCTGAGAATGTGCAATTCCTATATCTTCGTCGGTAGCATCCGGTAGGTCCACTTATACGTGGCAGCAGATTTCCAGATTTGCCATCGGAATCAAGGGACGATCAAGCCGCATCAAGCAAGCCGGTTGAGTCGGTTGAGTGTGCCAGGAGGGAGTGCAGTGCTGCTTCCACTTCTCCAACCATTAGCTGTAGCTGTTAGTGGCTGTCACTGTAGCTGCAGCTCAACTCTTGCTCTCGTTGCTGCTTATTGCTCAGGTTCGTACAGTGTCCAGCTTGCAGTTGTGTCAGTGCCGGGTCGGCTTCCGTGCGGCCTCTGTCCTAGGACCTAGGAGGCATGGCGGCTCGCAGGAGTGTCGCCCTGCTGCAAGCAATGCCGATGTCATGCGTGTAACAGTGCAACAGTGTAGCGTTGTAACTGTAGTGATGACTTAGTAGTTTAGTAGTGACATTGTAGTGACTGTAGTGAAGTCATGTAGTACTGTAGTACCGTACATGTAGCGGTAGCGGCAGCAGGTAGCGACTGCACTGTATAGTGTAGTAGTAGTAGTACTAGTAGTGCAGTGTAGTGTAATGTGCCAGACATGACAGTTGTTGCTTTGCTTTCGTCACTGTTTCTGCTCGCTGGTATTGTTCAGTGCTCAGAGTCGCCAATGTTCATTTGGGCAACATTCCTGTGGACTTTAAACAACTCTATACTTTACAAATGAGAGATCGATTCTACTCGAGTCCAGTGTTCGGAGCCTGGGCTTGCAGCTTGTGGTTCTTGTATAGTTTGTGAACTGAATATTTGTGCTGGGAGCACAGAAAGGCAGTCAATGTCCCATGTCCCATGTTGCAGACTCGTGGCTGTTAGGACGGACGTCAGGAGGTTGAAGGTTTCAGGCTTTGTTGCAATTCGGCTGCTAGGAGAGGATTGGTTGCGGGCATTAGCGCGAGGCATTAGGCACAGAGTCAGGGAGGCAAGAACCCCAAATTCTTGGTGGAACATTGTAGATTGTCAATTGTAAATGCTACAGTAGGACCTTAGGAAGGGCTTCTGATTCTGGCAAACCGCCTTTCTGTAGTCCAGAGAGAGCTGTTCACACACAAATCAGTTTAGTATAGTATAGTCATTAGTCATGATGATCCGAATTGCGCAAGTTTTGAGGTTCCAGGCCAGTTACAGTTACAATGACAAACAAGGAAGCAGGACTAGACTATAGACTCTCACACTGCGCGGATTCCAAGGCATTGATGAAACGAGAGGAGCGGGACGAGGCCCCAGCCCCGAAAGCAGCACCGCCGACAAAGCGGATCAAGACCAAGAAGGAGTTTCCTGTCGTCATCTGCGTCTTCAGGGGAGAATCGTCCAAGGACCCATCCGGAAGTGTGCATGCATGTCTCTGTGTGCCTATGTGTGTATGCGATGGCTGATTGCAATGGTCGAATGTGAGTTGTTATGTGATGTTCAGTGGTGTCAGCTCGGCCGGCACAGGGAAACGAGGCTGGTGTAGCTCAGGACTGAGGCAGGCACCCACCCCGCTCCAGATCGAAGTGTAGAGGACTTGTCAGTTAGGAGAAGTCTTAGTCACTTACTAGAAACTATGATAGCTGGATAGCTCTATCGACCTTATCGTGTGCTAAATCTGCTAAATCACTAACTGAATCACTGGTGCTGTCACGAACAGAACCCACATTCGTGAGGCTCGACGTTTCGGGCCATGTGTGTGTGAGCCGATTTAAATGATGCGGCAGGACAAGCGCTTCGCTGAGGTTGAGCAGTCTGGAAAAATCCTGGTGCCTGCTTGCTGGGATTGTGCAGACTGCGCCCTGAAGCTGAGACCTGGCGTTCCCCTGCCCATCTTGTGCGAGTGGTATGCAGCCGGACCTGCATGCATCCAGGACCCTGGATTCAAAGCCGAATTTGATGGGGCGATCAAGGTGTGGCACGCATTGTCGATGGCCGAGGCGACAAAGCCTCGATTCTCTCCTGAGGCTTCGGTGTTGAGCCGCCAGGTTTATGGAATGCGGATTGTTCAGGAATTCGGCTTGCTGACGGAGAATGAATACATTCAGGTGATCGGCAATTCGCCGAGTGTGTTGCCGAAGAACAAGGCCTTGAGACCGGTCTCCCTGCCGTTCTTCTCCCCGAACAGCAACACTAACTTCTATGTCATCGACCTACTTGGTGCCGACCCGCAGGTCCTGAGTGGGATGAGAAGGGCTGAGATCTACTATGACACGAGCAGCGAGTTGGCCGAGGCGGTCTTGCAAGGGGCCCAGCAGCTCTCGGAGAACCAGGGACACAAGGTTTTCGACTACTTGGCTGCCGGCATGACCGAACGTCGCCCAGCTCCTTTGAAGGGATCCGCGAAAGCCCGCCCGAAGAACATCCAGCAACTCCTCAGCGAGCACGACCTTCAGGAGGCCCAGGTCGAGGTACCGGCAGTAGAGGTTGTTGAGAACGACGAGGAGGAGGAGGACACAGGGGCAGCTGGTGCTGCTGGGAGCTCCACCGATGGGCCGAGTCGCATTGCTGGCTTCAACTTGCCCCAGCAAGCCCGGACAGCCTGCAAGAAGCGAGCCAAGCCTGCAACGCCATCTGCTCCCTCAAGCGCAGCCGCTACGACGAGCTCAAGCCCGGTGCCGGTGCCGGCACCGAAAGCCAGACCCGAGACGCAACGTGATCCTGCTGGTGGTGACGGTCGCAGTGAATCTACTGTGAAGAACTGCAGGAACTCCAAAGCCGACAAAGAAGGAGTCTACCAGAAGCTGGACCCGGGCATGAAACGGGTTGCGGACAAGTACTTGGAGCTCATTCCAAGTGCCAGTGTGCGAAGCTTGGAACACCTCGTGCCACAGAGCTTCCTCTTGAACCCCTCAAAGCAGACGTCAAACTCCCTCACCGGAGTCCGGCTCTGAGTTGAATCATAAGCCTAATGATTGCCTCATGACCTAAGGAGCTGTTGTCAACTTAGTCAACTTGTTTTTGTGTATTGTACTCTAGGCTGCTGCTACTTTACTATTACTACACACTCTACCAGACTCCACCTGCTTCAGAAAGGCTTGGCGAGCCACGACTTGTGTGGTGAGTGTGCAGTAGCTGTAGCTGTAGCTTTTGTTCGAAGTAGGTAGATCTATCTGCTAAGATCAGCAGATTCAATATTTCACAAGCTTGTAGGGGGCTAGTGACCAAGGCTTAGATAGAGCATAGGGGTTACGGGTTATTTCTTTACTTGAGGTGAGGTTCAGCCTTATAATAGTCGTGGCCCGAGGTTTAGTGTTAAGGCTATGGGCTTGAGGGCAGCATAGGCTGTGCCGGGTTTGGGACCTGTTGAGTTAACCGGGTTTTGTTTGTGCGAGGGCAACGGCAACGGAGACTGTTCTGGGAATTGGAGTTGTTCGGTTAACCGGGTTGTGACAGTGTGTCTGCAGATGAGGCCAAGCGGATCCTGGATGGCCTGCAGAAGGGCAAAAGTCTCACTGCGGCTGAGGCTTTGGAGGAACGCCTCCTCCAGTGTGAGCATGCGGCCGCACTCGGAGGTGGAATGCTTGTTATGCAGTGCAAATTCAGTGACCTGAGAGGACATTTGTTCCGAACCCAGGACCTCTGGCACTCATTTCCTTTTCTTCTTCAAGTCCGCGTGTCTCTGCGGTTTGGTGTGGAGGCCATGAAGGATTGCTGTGAGCACTACTGGAAGCTGTTCGTTGGCAAGCAGGATAAAAAAAAGACGAAGGTGGAGACCACCGAGGGTGATGGCGATGGCTCGGACAAGTGCTCGGCCTCCGCAGCAAACAAGGGCAGCAAGGACTCGGCATCGGCAGCCACTTGGAAGGGGCAGGTTGAAGCCTGCCTTGGATTGCTTCGGTTCGACAAGGAGCTCCTGAATCATCGCATGTTCCAGTTCCAGTTCGATGGCAACAAGCCCCAGCTGCATGACACCATCGGCCTCATGATGCATGCGCTGAGCGAGAGCACCATGGACCTGGAAGCCGAGCTGGAGCTTGACCTTGCTGAGGATGTGAAGGACGGCCAGGGTGACGAGGACGACACGAAGCAGGACGGCGGGAAGAAGATGACTGCTCTTCAAGGTGTTCGAGCAGCTGTGGAGGCCGGGCTTGTTGCGCTTGAGCTTTTGTTACTTGACTTAGCAGATGCTAAGGACTTCTATTTTTCCAAGATTCCAAGAATGCCCAGCTTTCAGTTTTAAGTTGTGAAGGCTTCAAGGACCCCAGTGTTCTCGTTAAGATTCGTCTTTGTGCAGGTGCCAGTTTCTTGAAAAATGTCACTGCTATGTGGCATGCTAGAAGCATGTCCTCAGATGAGTCAGTCATGAACCCGTGATGCTCAAGATGTTTCAGTGATCACTGGAAACTAGATTGTGCATGAGATCCAACTGCTCCTAGCCTTAGTTCAGTTCCACTTGTGAACATGTGCTCGGCATCAGGTTGTGTTGCTCTACAGTCTACAGTCTACAGGCTCTACATCACTAGCATTAGAGTCCACACTCCGCATACTGACATACGACAATCTACATCCCATGTTGTCTGTAACAGCTGTATAGGACTTGTAGTAATAGCTCCTGATATGATTCCAGTCCTCTGTCTGCTTATTGAATTGAGCTTGTTGATAATGGCTTGAGGCTTGATGGCTGAAAAGGGCTTTAGTTTCGACGGTTTAGGTCCAGGGCCGGGCCCTTGCTCAAGGGCAGCTTAGGCTGGCTGACGATTCGGGTTTCTTCAGGTTGTGGGGTAAGGCTGAAAGCTAAGGCTGCGGCTAAGGCTAAGGCTAAGGACTTCAGTGCTTAAGGTTGCGTATAGTTTCAGTGTCTGCAGGATGCGGAGTCCGGCATCATGGAAGTCTTCATGGTGGAAGACTTGATCAACATCTTTCGTGCAGGCGACAGCCACCATGAGTTCACGACCTTCTTTGCTGCCAAGTTCGTGACCATGATGATGGAGCAGGGTGCTGTCTTGGAGCAGATGAAAAAGTCGGAGTTTGCACCGATTGAAGCAGCAGTGCGAAAGGTGGAGCGATTCATGAGGGCCCTCTTGTACATCTTCGACCAGAAGGTCCCAGCTGAGGATGGCAGCGGCAACATGGTGGATGCAGCAACGGCTGCCGACGTCTTCGCATTCACGGAGGCACGGACCTCCGATGTGTATGGGGCAGCCATGCAAAAGGTCCTCGTCAAGACCGGGTCGTGGTATGCCGCACAAACCGATGAGATCGCAAGGACAGCTGCCACCAGGAAGATCGTCGCACCCAAGCTCGAGGCCCTTCAGGCGCTGCTGGAGGAGTCGTTTTCGACAGGACCTGCGGCCTTCCCCACATCCAAGCTGCAGGAGGTCGTGGTTCTGCATGCAGAGGTGCCCCTTGTTTTTCTGGAAGTTGAGAACTGAGTGTATTTAGGACTTAGAGGACTTAAGTTATTTGGGAATTGGGACACTATAAAGCAACGGACCATGATGGAGGTTTTGGAATTTGCAACAGTTTGATGCCAGCATTGGGTTTCGATGTTTCGACTAAAGGACTTTCTGACAGTATTGACCGGCAACAGCATTCAGCCTCAGAATTGCCGAGCAATTTTTTCTGGCCCAGGAATGAAATTGACAATGGAAAAGTCTGATGCTCAAGATTCTTAAGTCGTCGCAACCGATATGTCAGTTGTGTCCTTGCAGCAACAGCCAACCTGAGAGACGGAGTGTTCTGTGAGCCGTGTATTGACTTGTGTTGGCCTTGACCGTGCAGGTGCGAGGTGGTCTGCGTGCTTTGGAGATGCAGGCCATGATTGAGAAGATGGAGAAGTTGGTGCGGAACTGTGCCGAGTACATGATGTCCCAAGCTTCTTTGCAAAGCCTGGAAACGGCCAGGGTGGAGGCCTTGCTGGCCCTCTTGGACAAGCTGTCAGATGTGGCAGGCATCCCGTCGTTGTTGCAGAGTTTCCAAGAGTGGGCTGCAAAGACACGCTCTGCCCGCAACTCCCACGATCTCATCGATCTCATGAAGGCAGCAACCCGAGAGAAGATTGATGTCGATGCCATCAAACGACTTCTGCCGGCAGAGGGCAGTGTGATTGAGGGGCCCGGCACAGAGGACTTGGTTTCAGCGGCTTCGAATTGTGTCCACAAGCTGTGCCTTCTTTGTGTGGACAAGGCTGGAAGGGGGGTGCGGGCCGATGCTAACTTGCTGAGCTGTTAAGCCTTATGCCATAACGCCATAACGGCCACAATCGGCCACAACCAGCCATGTGCAAATCCTGTAAAAAGTTCTTGCCCACGATGCTGCAACTATGTCGTGTTTTCACAAACAGCTGATACCATTCCTCTAGACTCTAGACTCTAGACTCTAGACACGGCCAGGGCAAGCCTGACCTGGTGTTGTTGTCTTGACATGGAGCTGAAATCCAAACACTTGAGGTGATGTTGGTGCTGCCACCAGGGTATATCAGGATCTCTTGTTCGGATGTGTGAGTGATTGCATTTGATTGCACATTGTTTAAACTAGTCTAAATGCGATTTTGGATTGACTATGTTACTATGATGTCGAGCCCCACGTGTAATCACAAAAGAGAGCCGCATTGTGGGATCAATGGTCTAGGATGGCTTTTGTCCAGAAGAAAGCCTGTGTTCAGTAGTCTGTTTGTGTGCTTCTTGTAGTGTTGCGTTTGCAATGGTGGCAGGTGTGGTGAAGTCTTATTTACAATGAGTGAGTCAATCAACAAGTTTGTGCGAGTTTGTGTTGTACCGTTGGTAAATCTGAAGTTTTAGGTAATGATGGCTAATCAAACATAGCTACACAGCCCGCGATCTAGACTTACAGTGCGTTGAATCTTTAAACTCAAACCGACAGAGGTCTACCGAGTCTACCGGTGTGGCTATTCTGTCCACCAAGTCTACGCATGTGTGGAATGAATCATAAGATATGGTGCACAGGTGCTGGCTCCATGTGATGAGAAGGACCGCCTGGTTGCTGACATCAGAAAGGAGCTGCTGCTCATCATCGGTGTTGCCAAGAAGCTTTTTGGCAGCCCCCCCGGGGATGACAGTGAGAAGGCTGCCCTCAATGACTCCTTTCGCAGCCTCATCATGAGCTACTCTCACTACTTGCAGGCCGGGTTCCAGCAGCTGGAGAGACTGCGACACTTCAAGGGGCTGGGTAATGATGCGGAGACTCGCATGGGCCACAAAAACTCCCCTCAGCTCCTCTCAAGCTTGAAGCACGGTGCCGACAAAGTGGCTGCAGAGATGGCCAAGATCAGAAGCACACAGAAGACACTCCAGAGCGATGATTCTGATTCGCAGCGAGAATCAACAATCAAGAATGATGAGGCGGTGATGGCCATGGTGGACTTGTTCGTGGAAGATGTGTTCTACCTTGCAGAGAGCCACATGTACCAGGATTGCGTGGCCTGGCTTGGCGCATCCCTCCAGCGTGATCTTCAGACGAAGGCCGATGACATGGCTCGTGTTGCTGCTGGCTTCCAGTCGGGCGGTGAGCACGATTGGAAGGCTTCTTTGGGTGATGGAGCCTCGCTGGACGACATCTTCACGAGCTGCAAGAGTCTGTTGGACAGTGTTGACATCAGGAAGCTTCGCCAGGCAGGGGAAGACTGTGGGGCGGCTCCCCGGACTGACTTATTGTTCCCAATCGACGTGACAAACTGGGGTGTAAGTGACTACAGTGACTACAGTGACTACAGATCTCTACTCGACTAGTGTTGTTTAGAAGTTTGTACTTCTAAAGTTTCTAATGACTGACTAATGATGGCTAATGAACAGGTGCCAGTTCAACAGTTTAGCAGTCTAGATGCCCTGTACCATTGCACCACACTAGCCTTCTATAGCCACATGTGATAATGTGTTGTGTATGAGGCATGATGAAGTGAAGATTTCCAGTGCCTTTTTAGGTGCCATGTTGTGTGGGGCATTGTCCACCCTTCATTCTTCATCGACGTCTGTTTACTTGTTGATAAGTTTGTGACACGTCGTACCTTATTCATGTTAACTGTCAGTACACTTAATAAGAACAGTCCTAGGTCCTAGGTCTGTGTCATACTTGGGTTTTGTCTTGTTTGGGTGCCAATGAAAGCCGGCCGTGTGCCCCAGTCCGGCCTGACATAGACGGGCGAAGCATCCGTGTAGTTTGAAATTGAATCAGAGCATCAGCTATCGCCCAGGTTCTGAAAGCCATCAAGGACCACATGGATATGTATGACAGCTCAGAGTTGACAACCATCCAGATGAGTATGCTGGCCTTGAAAGAGTTGCGGGATGACTTGTTGGCAAACGGCATCCGCCAAGGGCGCACTTTGGGAGCGGAGATGCTGTTGCTCCACCAGATCAGGAAGATCCACGCCTTGCCGGTGCACGAGCGGAGCGACCCGATTTCTGATTTGAGCAAGCTTGTGACAAAGTTAAGCGTGTTCTTCACGGAGAACATTTTTCAAATCGAAGCCGGCGCAGTTCAGAGAGCCTTGTGGACGGAGTCCCAAAAGTTTGTCGTCTGACTTCGAGAGTGCTGCTAGAATGCTGGGCTGGACCAGCCGCCTGTTAGCCGACTGATTGAGTTGCGAGGCTGCTGCTAGCCACGGCAAACCAGCAACAAACCGAACCCGCCTCGACGTGCTCTGCTAGCCCCGCTAGCAGCTAACAGCTATAGCATGTGTCTTCACGTGAAAGTGAATATGATAAATGTTCCTGCCGGTCCTCACGGCCCTTACCTCTATGACTCTATGACTCTATGACTCTATGACATGACTCTATGACTATGACTCTATGCCTCTATGCCATCTATGCCTGTGGTTTTATGCTCGCTCTACTGTGTATGTTCTTTCGTGCCCTTTATACTGTGTATAGTGTATATGTGTGTCAGTGTATCAGTATATGACTCGTGTGAGTCCAACACAAGTAGCAAAACTAGATAAACTGGATGTGCAAGCAGGCAGTTTGCATGTCGAGCATGCTGGATTCCGTGGGCATTTTTGCCAGTCCTGCCGTAGCCTGCCGCGAAGTAGCAGAGCTGCCAAGCCCTTCAATCGATTAGAATAGCCCTGGAGCCAATGTTTCAGTTTCAGAGTTTCAGATGTCGTGATTTCAAGTTTCGCACAAACCCCAATGGGATTGATCACTGATGGAGTGAGTGGCTCCAGTCCTCTATGAAATTTTCGGCCGCATTTTGCAGGACTGCAAGACCGGAACGTGCCCAGCCGGGCATCGGAGAAAACAAGCAATGAGTGCTGCCATCGCCTGATGCTGTGAGAGCCTGTCAGCACTATTTCTATTGAAAGGCTTGTGCGCAAATCCGTTTACTAAGTTTACTACATTACTACAGTTCACCAGTACTTTCGGAAGGCCCGAAGGCTCTGTAAACAGTAATTACACACTATATTGCTACATGTTCTGATTTTCCACTTATGGGGGTATATTCGGGTATATGCAACCGGAATGAATGCAAAATTGTTTCAGTCAGACGCCTTTTTTGCTCAAGACTCAACCTGAAAGACGATACTTGTAGAAAAACTCCTTCGTGATTCAGGGACATGCAATGCGGATATATGCAACCGAAATGAATGCAAAAATGTTTCAGTCAGACGCCTTTTTTTCTCAAGACTCAACCTGAAAGACGATATTTGGCACAAATCTCCTTCATGGTTCAAGGACACATTGGCGGATGTTCCACTTATGAGGGTATATGCAACCGAAATGCAAAACTGTTTCAGTCAGACGCCTTTTTTGCTCAAGACTCGACCTGAAAGACGATACTTGTAGCAAAACTCCTTCCTGATTTAGGGAATCGTTCGGCGCAGACTCCATGACCACACTCCAACTCCAAAGATTTGAAATCAGCAAACCAGGTCTTGAGAAACACGGCAATGTTAAACGATTCCTTTTGCTGAACCTTTGCCTATCTGTTTCGAACTGGTTATGGCGATTTTGGTTGATCGTTGTCGTGAGGCGAGGCTAGGCACCTGTGTGGTGTGCCGACAATGTAGGCTACACTGTAGATGCAGTCAAGCGGCAGGCCATGTGTATATCCCAATCAATATGCAATGTACAGAATGAAAGACAGAAATACCATGTTGTCGTGAAGCATGGGAATTGCTTGCACCACACCGCACGAAGATACGGATGTAACGAAGTACTGTGCCAGTTCAGTTGCTCTTTTTCATCAGTTTATGATGGCTTCACAAAATGGTTCGACATAATTCCCTATGGTTTTCGCAAGACTCTTTCAAATATTTCCACACAAACTGCAAACAAAGAATGAAACTACAGTATTTCGCAGAGATTTCGCAATATTCCCCAATAGTTACCAAAAAAACGCAAAAAAACGCAAAGATAACGCAAAGATTTCGCAAACATTTCGCGAAATGCCGGGCCCAAACCAAAATTTGGAGAGCAAAAAAAACGCAACCATAACGCAAAGATTTCGCAAACATTTCGCAACCCAAAAAACCGGGAAAATCCATAACGCAAAATCCTAACGCAAAGATTTCGCAACCATACCGCAACCATTTCGCAATAATATAAATCCCTGTAAACTGGCTGTGTAGCTCCCTAATCATCTCATAACATTACCATGCCACACAATCTCCAATTCAGGATTGAGGTCGTTATCCGAACAGCGCCGCGAGAACGCCTTTCGACCGAGTGATCAGATCAGTGGAGCCTTTGAGTGCTTTGTTGCACAATTTTGGACAGTGCTAGCAGGTCCACCTTTCTGTCGAAGAGGTAACAGAGCAGTGGCAGACGAGGTGCTGATAAAAATGCTGGGGCTAGTCTTCGGATGGTCAGCTGGTTGCTTGCATTCTTCGCTGCCGCCAGTCTGCTTTTCCTCTGGATTTGTCTGCTTGGCTCCTTCAGGTCCTGCTTTGCATGCCATGAACACACCGACATATCGCATCCGGCTCAGGCCGTTGAATGCTTCCTCTAGTGCTGAGTGCTGGGATTGCTGGACTTGTTCTTCCTGCATTGCAGGGGTCTACGGTTCTACACGGAACTCCTTCCGCCGTGCCAACAGTTGCCTCAGCCGACGGGACCCACACAAGGTGTGCCAGCTTCGTTCTGGCTTATGCTCGTGTCTTGCTTCCTGCTGCTGCAGGCGATGCTCGCAGACAGGCCCGACGCCTGGCCCGTGCCCAGGTTCACCGCCATACAGCTCGGACTACGCACTTTTGTCTGTGCCCGTCAGGGCTGCGATGCCTCTGTTTCGGCCGCTTCAGATGATCGCTACGAGTCTACGCACGCTGGTGTGCTCACCCATGGTAGCGGCCCTGCACTCGCTACATACCTTAGGCCTGTGCTTGACTTGGCACGGCAGGCAGCAACAAGATACCGTCTTCAGACGGAACCTGTGCCAACACTTGTGCCACAGTCGGGCTCCTAGCCATCAGACGGCTGATCTTGGGCGACTTGCCATACTGGCCTTTCTGTGCTCAGCTGCTGCCCTTAGGAGGCTTCACCAGGCCAAGCTTGCCAGATCAGGGAAAGCGCGATTCCTGGCGTCGGTGCTGTTGCACCCTGTGCTTCTAGCAGCGCTTTCACTAGCTTGCTGTGGGTATCTGTTTGACATCAGGTGCGATCGATTTGCACAGCTTGGACTGACCAGGCTACCTCTTTTCCTGACTTCATATTGTTGGAGTGTGCTCTCTCTCTTGCTCGGCTATTCCAGGATGCGAGGTCGTCGCCTCGCACACCGACTATGCAGAGGCTCTTATCGTCGCAGAATTTTGAGGTGTGGCACGGTCCGAGCTTGGAGAAATGCACTGGCTCTCAAGTTTTCTGCTTCGGCAAGCTCTCGGTACGGCATGCAGATAGAATTCTTCAGCAATGCTGCTATGATGCTCCTTCTTTTGCTCCAGCCTTTCTCCTGTGTCGGCCGTTTGTGTTGCACATGGTGGGCAAGGCCCGACAAGCCTCTGCATCGGCGGCTTCGCGTCCACGTCCTTCTGGGGGTACTCCGGCTGGTCATTCTCGCCCTCGGGCGAAGCCTAAGGTGCAGCTCCCGATCAAGACAAGGGCAGCAGCTACCTCCAAGGTGGCGGTCAAGAAGGCACCCGCAAAGCCTTCCTCCAAGCCCTCGTCGAGGCCTCGTAGACGGCCAGCGGCCGCTGCTACCTGCTGCTCTTCGGACACCTCTACTTCGGACAGTTCCTCATCGGGTTCCACCAGCACGGGGGCAGCCAGCCGCAGCTCCAGCTTGGGGCGCGATAGTGACAGTTTGCAAGCCTTGGCACCTCCCATTGACTCACCCGACTCAATGGAGGAGGTGGTTGTCGAGCAGTATGACTTTGCAGCAGCTTTTGCAGAGGCCTTTGGTAGGGCAGTTGGCAGGCAGGTTCCACCCTCTGTTATCCACGACGAGGTGGATAGCGATGAGATTGCAGAGAGTCCCTACATCGATCCAGCAAAGCCAGTCCCCGAGGATGCTCCGGGTGCTGCGACTGCCTCAGCGACTGCCTCTACCTCTCAGCCAGCCTGGGATGCACCAATTGCCGCGGCACCAGCCACTCGCGCCCGCAGGACCAAGGCCGTGGCAAAAATGTTGGTGCGAGCAAAGCTGCGATGCCCACAGTGTTATGGATATCTCAGCGGATGCAAAACAGGCTGCTTGGGCGTGGCCCCCTTTGAGTGAAGGTTCACTTTCGATCACGATGCGAGACCTGTGGACTCTGCAGCCTTTCGTGCCTTTCAGTAGCGAGCCACCTCAGCAACTAATCCCTTCCCCCTAATATTAAAGGGTCGGGGCCCCCCCCCCTTCGCCCTAAATAAAAACTCGAGAATGTTTTTATAATTAGGGTCCCCTTGTTATCTCAACTGCCAGAAACACAGGTTCTACAAGTAATTAAATGATGAAAATGATGACGATGAAAATGATGATGACGATTACGGTGATGCTTGTTATGATGAAGATGGCGGTAGTGGTGGTGATGGTAATGATGACGATGATCATGGTCCAGGAAAAGAAGATGATGATGATGTGTTGTTGATAGTAGCAGCAGTAGTAGTAGTCGGAGAAATAGCAGTAGTAGTAGTAGTAGTAGTAGTAGTAGTAGTAGTAGTAGTAGTAGTAGTAGTAGTGGTAGCAGTCGCAGCAGTAATTAGCAGCAATCGCAGCGGCAGCAGGAGCAGGAGTAGTAGTGGTATTGTCAATAGCAGGAGTAGAACATCCGCAGCATCGGCGCCAATGGCGTTTGGGCAAAGGGGCATGGGAAAGTGGGAATGGGTGGGTTTTGGTGGGTTTGCGCGGGTTTTCGGCGGGTTTGGTTGCACGGGGACACCGCCAGAATTGGGCCTGCGACCGTGCCCAAATCCCCTAAGGAGGCAGCCGCCCGCCCCCAGAACTATCTGGCCATGGCCTAATGGGTAAACGTTTGCCTCCAAAGCCCTCCTCGGGAAGGTCGTGGGCTCAATCCTCGGGGGTGTCATTTGGGCCCTTTCCCCACCCGGAATCGAGATTTTGGGGTGACCTGAAGCTCTGGGCTCTCTGGAGACTTAAGAAACGCTA